TCCTTCCTTCCTTCCTTCCTTCCTTCCTTCCTTCCTTCCTTCCTTCCTTCCTTCCTTCCTTCCTTCCTTCCTTCCTTCCTTTTTGGAAAGTGCCCTTTGAAGTGTAAAAATTGGACCAGAAGAGATGGCCTAGATGTTAAACAAAAACACTTATTGCTCTTGAATCTTATGTCTGCTACCCACCTGGAGGCTCATGGGCACCTGAAATTCTAGTTCCAGGGCATCCAGTGACGCCTTCTGGCCTCCAAGTACCAGGCACACACACGCACATACATACATGCAGGGGAAAACACACAGACACATTTAAGAAAAGTACAAAAGTTGAAATTCTAGCTTATCTTTTTTGTTTGTTCTCTGTGCTTTTGGTGTCATGGCCCAGGACTACTGCTTAGTTGAAGTCATGAAGACGTGCTCCTTTCTAACAAACATACTTTATTTTATGTGTATCGGCGTGTTGCCTACATGTCTGTCTGTGCACCCCTTGTGTGCCTGGCGCCCACAGAGGTCAGAAAAGAGCGCTGGATCCCCTGGGCCTGGAGGGACAGGTGGTTGTGAGCTGCCATGTGGGTGCTGGGACTTGAACCCAAGTCCTCTGCAAGAGCAGCCATTGCTCTTAACCGCTGAGCCATCTCTCCAGTTTTAATTCTTTTATTTGAGACAGGGTCTCCCTATGGAGCTCTGGCTGGTCCGAACCTGGGGCCTCTTGAAGAGCAGACAGTTGCTCTTAACTGCTGAGCCATCTTTTCAGCCCCTCGTTTTAATTCTTATATTGAGATTCGTGACCTACTGAAACATCACGTTTCAGAGTTACTGTGCCCTGCTTTCTCTTCTCTTGCTGTGTAGACCAGGCTGCCCTAGAACTCACAACCTCCTGTGTACTAGGATTAGAGGTATGTGCTACCACTCCCCGTGACTTCATCTTCATCCAGCCCTCTCCTCTCATTCTTGTTTCCCCCCGTCCTCGTCCAGGCCTTCACTACCTCTGGCCTTGGAGTAGTGGCCCAGCTTGTGCAACAGATGCTGTCAATGCAATCTGAGGAGAGCATGGTGCTGTCGGGCACCCTGACCGTTTGACGATTGGACTGGGGGTGTGATAATCATATAACTGCTGAGTTCCTGTCCAGGCCGGCCATGGTGCTGTCCACTGGGCCTGTGCTGATAAACAAGGTAGAAGTCACTTCCTGCGTAGCCGAACCTGCTGTTTAAGGGGAGAGACTGACATTAAATAAACGGTTGTATACAGTGATCAGTAACAGATTGAATCACGCCACTTTCCCATTCCAGACTTTTCATTCGCTCTTTTTTTATTACATTTTTTAATATTATAGTTTATTCACTTTGTATCCCAGCCGTAGCCCTCTCCCTTTTCTCCTCCCAATCCCACCCTCCCTCCCTCATCTCCTCCTATGCTCCTCCCATTTACTCTTAGAATAAAACCCCAACTCCGTGGAATCATATCCCAGCCCCATTCTTGGCTGCTTTCGGCCCTTTGAGGACTGCCTACTGTGGCCCAGATGGCCTGTTACAACCCTGCCCTGCCATACCCTCTGTCCAGCCTGTGTGCCCCCACTGGACCTTTGAGGCCACCGTATGGAACATGACTTTCTCTGTCAGACCTTTTTTTGGTCACTATCATTTTCCAAGTTAAAAATTAAAAAAAAAAGACAAACCAACCTTGTAGAATTTGCAGGTGTAGACTCCAAAGGGACAGCCCCAGGTGACAGTGGTAAAATGCTTGCCTGATGTGCACAGGGCGCTGGATTCCACTCCCAGGATTACAGAGAAGCAGTTACTACAGAGAGGTAGTGTGCACCCCCACCCCGCCCCCGTCAGGGGCATGTTGGGTACAGGAGCTGGAGAGCAGAGAGACTGGTTCCTCCTCTGTAAGAAGGGAAGGCGGGAGTGCTGAGGCTCTGGGAACAGGCAGGATGTCCGGGGCGCCGGTGATGTCATAGAGATGGCTATCTTGAGGATCATCCTGCCGAGAAAGCTAACAGATACCCACCCCAGAGCTGAGCAGAGTTAGAGGCCGCAGGGTTGGGAGGACCTTTCCGAAGCCCCGCAGAACCTGCTCAGACCTCTGTTTAGAAACGCCCTCTGTGTGCCCCGGAGGGTCTGGCCTTGTCCGGCTGGCACTGGTAGATATGAAACCCAGTGCCCCGACCTCAGAAAATCATCCGGTGGGGATAGGGAGCTGTTGGTTAACCCAGAAGCCTGCATCTGCCTGAGCTTGGTGGCGGAGAAGATTGGGCTGGTCCACCCACAGAGTTTAGGTGCCGCCAGGCAGAAGATGGAGGAGGCTCAGGGATAAGACTGGAGTCGGCTGAGTTATTAGAGCCTGGATGGGATGGCAGGTGCAGAAGGGGCCGAGGGTCTGGCAGCCTCTGTTCCCATCTGGCCCAGAGCCCTTCGGGTGCGGGCGGTTAATCTCCGAAGGCCAGAGTCGCCGCTACTGGAGAGCAGGAACATTGAACTTTTCAATCACATTAATTTCCACAGGAAATTGTTGTCTTCCTTTTGTCCAAAGGTTAGTGATTTATGTTTACCATCTTCTTAACTAGCCTTGAAATTTACTGTTGCCGGGTCACCAGCAGCATTCATAAATTCCAGGTGTCGGCTGAGCATAGCCAAGTGGCTTGGTCCTTGGAAGGGCACGCGCTGGCCCCTTTTAGAGGTTGGCTGTCTAGCTACAGTCCTTGTGCAAATGCCCCACGGAGGGGGTGTCGCCCACCTTGCAGGGGAAACGAGGCAGGCGGGTATGGTTTTAGGGAGGCCTCTTCAGACGGGCACGGTGCAGGCAGCTGGCTTGGCCTTCTGAGCACATCACTGAAGGAGGCATGAATGGGGCTTGAATGGAGCTGACCCCAGAGGCGTGGGGACCCCAGAGGCGTGGGTCACACAACACACCTGCCTCATGGTGTCACAGGGGTTAAATTCCCACAAATACAGGCTGCACTCTTCTCTTGACAGCACAGGGAAGAGGTGGCCATAGTCAGTCAGCCTCTTGCCCCTGCTTAGGTTCTTTTATTAATATTTTTTTTGGGGGGGGCCGTGTCTCATGTACCCCAGGCTGGCCTTGAACCTTGACTTTACTTTGTAGCTGAGGACAACCTTGAACTTCTGATCCTCCTGCCTCCCTCTCTGGAGAGCTGGGGTTATAGGTGTGCTTGGTTCATGCTGTGTGGCCCTGTGGCCCTAACCCAGGCCCGGGAGCATTTTAGGCCAGCCAGCACTCGGTCAGCTGAGCTACGCCCCAAGCCCTTCCAGTTTTCCTCTTAAGCGTTTCCCCCTCCATCTGTCTATTCATGGATTAGATCAGAGGCTAGCAAACTTTTTCTGTAAAGAGACGGTAATATTTTAGGCTTTGTGAGCCATCAGTCTCTCTTGTGGCCACTCATCTGTGCTGTTTTCATCTGGGTGTAACCGCAGACCACAGACAAATTGGGTGAGAATGGTCATGTTCCAATGTAACTCGTTTGTTTGTTTGTTTATTTATTTATTTATTTATTTATTTATCTACAGGGTCTTATGTCACGAAGACTAGTCTCAGCCTCACTGTGTAGGCACAGATGACCTTGAACCCTGATCATTTCTGACTGGCTTCCCAAGTGCTGAGATATCGGGCATGCACTGCCATGCTGGGTGTACGGCGCTGGGGACTGAACCCACAGTTTTTACAAAGGCTAAGCCAGCACTCTGCTGAAAGAACTGCATTCTCAGACCTGTGTGCGTGCCTGCGCGCGCGCGCCCTGGCCTGCGTGCTCATGAGCTACGGATGGAACCCACAGCTTTATTTGTGGCAGGCAGTGTGTTTGCCACTGATCTACAGTTCCAGACACCAAATGAAACTTTTTGTGAGTTTACGGATAATCTGGCTGTGGTGGCTCAGGCAGAAGCAGACAGATCTGAGTTCAAGGCCAGCCTGGTCTACAAAGTGAGTTCCAGGACAGCCAAGGCCACACAGAAAAACCCTGTCTCAATAAACAACAACAAAACAGAACAGTAAATTCACAGCTATTTACTTATTTATAGATAGGGTCTCTATGTAGCTCTGGCTGTCCTGGAACTTACTATGTAGCCTAGGCTAGCCTCAAACTCCCAAAGATCCATTCCTTTTGTCTTCTGAGTGCTGGGATTAAAGGCATGTACCACCATGACTAGCTATATACACAGAGATTTAAACTTCATATAGTTGTGATTTTTTTTTTTTTTTTTTTGAGAAAGGATTTCTTTGTGTAACCTTGGCTATCCTGGATTTGCTTTGTAGACCAGGCTGGTCTCAGCCTGCCACTGCCTCCCTGAGTGCTGGGATTACAGGCGTGTGCCTCCACACCTGGCTAATTATGATTTTTTTTTAAAAAGATTGTGGTATTACTGTGTAAACCAGGCTGCTCGCTCATATTCAGCCCTCCTGCCTCAGCTTTCTGAGTGCTCGATTATAGGTGTGTGTCACCACACCCAATTTGATTTTTTTTCTATTTTAAAACGAAAAAGTGTGGGGACTGAGCGTGGTGGTGCATACTTTTAATATCAGCACCCAGGAGGCAGAGGCACATGGATTCCTATCACTTTGAGGCCAGCCTGGTCTACAGAGTGAGCTCTGGGCCAGCCTGGGCTATAGTAAGACCCTGTTTCATGTTTCAGAGAGAGAGAGAGAGAGAGAGAGAGAGAGAGAGAGAGAAGGAGCAAAGGAGGAGGAGGCAGAGGAGGAGGAAGAGGAGGAGAAAAAGCCTGAGCGGGAGGTCGCTCATCGCTGGGGCTCTGTGGGGCCCTCAGTTTGATCCCCAGCAATGTAAAAAGAGAAGATTAAACAGTTTTGGAACTGCAGAGGCAGCTGGTGGGTAAAGTGGCTGCTGTAGAAGCACGAGGACCTGAGTTCACATCCCAGGACCCTGTCAGCACGGGGCGGGGCGGCACACAGCTGTAAGCCCAGGGTTGAGGGGAGGCAGACACCGGATCTCTGGAGCTCACTGGCTCAGCCTAGACGAATCAGCGGGCTCCAAGGTCACGGAAAGGCAGCCTCCGCAAAGAAGGCGGAGACTGACTGAGAAAGACACCCGGAGTCGGCCTCTAGCCGCCACAGTGCGTCCACGTCACACGGACGGGGGCGTGCCACGTGCGCGTGCCAGGCGCACACAGGCATCATGTTAGCCCGTAGACCGTGACAAACTGGCATGGCGAGGTGGCTCAGTGGAGTAAGGCATTTGCCACCACGCCTGATGACCTGGGTTTACTCCCTAGGGTGCACATGGTAGGAGAGCCAACTCTGGTGGGTTGTCCTCTGACTTGCAGACACACCTCAGCTCCCACATCCCTTCCCACATAAAGAAATAAATGTACTTTTCTTTAAAAAAAAAAAAAAAACCAAACAAAACAAAACAATACTTATTTATTTAATGTATATGAGAGTCTGCATGTACACCTGCACACCAGAAGAGGGCATCAGAGGCCAGTATAGATGGTTGTGAGCCACCATGTGGTTGCTGGGAATTGAATTCAGAATCTCTGGAAGACCAGACAGTGCTCTTAACCACCAACTCATCTCTCCAGCCCCATGTAATTTTTTTCTTATACCAGTCTGATTTAGGGTCATGGCTCCCTGGGCTGGACGGTGAATTGTCTGGAAAGGGCACTCACTTTATTATTGTGGGATTTGAGTTACTAAAATGTGGTGTCTTCATGTGGGTTTGCCCGGTGATGCTGTGTACCTCCACAGAACCCCACCGACATGCAGTTGGCTGGAAGGACACCAGCAGGAGCCATATGGGAACTGGAGCACCTGGTGATTTGCTGCCCGAAGCTCTAGATTGGCCAAAACCTCTGTCCTGCCTCTGGTGTTGACAGTCCCCATCTGTGTTTCAGAGAACAGCCCCAGCGAAGGTGGGAAGGAGGCCGGGAAGCCACAGCCTGTTGTGATTCTCTTGGGCTGGGGTGGATGCAGGGACAGGAACCTGGCCAAGTATAGCGCCATCTATCACAAAAGGGTGAGTACTGCGGGCAAGCACTTGCCCAGGGTGCGGGCCTCTGCTAGCTCTGGCTGCTTTGTGGGGAGCTTTAAGCTTGCTTGCTTCACCTTTGTGCTGGAGCAAAGGTTGACCTCCCATATGGCAGCCCTAGAGCCATGCCAAAGATTGCCTGTGGGGAAGACAGAGGGCTCACGGGACTTTGGCAGGATTATGTATATGCGTGTGAGTGTCCTCATGCAGTTGCTTCAGTCCCCTCACCTGTTTCTTCTTCCCCCAAGGCCTGGATGTGTTCCCTAATTTTGAGGTAAGCCCAGAACCCACATCCTGGGCAATGCCTCTTTGAATAGCAGGAGCCAGGGCAGGATGATCTGATGTATAGTTTTCTAGGACTTTCTCTCTTTCTGACCAGATGAGTTTAGGACTATCTCTTTCCCTCTCCCGTTCTTGGAATCAGGGGGTCTCTGAGAGAAGAGTCACACTCCTTAGGCCGCTCTGAAACTGGGATGTAGAGATTGTGGTAATTCACAAGAGCCCTAGGAGGGCCTGAGTACATTGTGGAAAAACCCCTTTTCCATGTTTGGCTAGATCATGTGGAAGCAGCCTTCAGCAGGTGTACACACTGAGGAGACAAAGCATACATGTTAAGAGCGCCTGGGCCTGGGCCTCAGAGACCTAAGGGGGATTGTGAAGCTAGGCTTGCATTAAGAAAGCCCTTTGCCCAGATATATTTGGTCCTTGTGGAGCTCCTATCCTCTACACGTCATATTAACTCCCCTTCTTTCATAGGATTCCCTGCACTCTGCCGAAGGTTTGGTTATGAGTCTTAGTATCTGCTTTGATACACTGCTAGATAGTCTTTCAGAGGCCCTCTGCGGTAGGCTCCTGTCCTGTTACTATACTCCACCAAGGACCATGTACGGATATAACCCAGAGCCTCTGCTTGGATGTAGCCCGTGGTAGCTCAGTAACCAATTGGTTTCCTATAGTAAGGGGAACAGGGACTATTTCTGACAGGAACTCAATGGCAGGCTCTTTGACCTCCCCACCCCCCAAGGGAGGAGCAGTCCTGCTAGGCCACAGAGGAGGACTTTGCAGCCAGTCCTGAAGATACTTGATAAAACAGGGTCAGATGAAAGGGGAGGAGGACCTCCCTGATCAGTGGACTTGGAAGGGGGCAGGGAGGAGATGAGGGAGGGAGCGTGGGGTTGGGAGGGAGTGAGGGAGTGGGATACAGCTGAGATACAGAGTTAATAAAATGTAACTAATAATAAAAATTAAAAAAAAAAAAAAAGAAAGCCCTTTGCTACTGGATGATGGTGGCACACACTTTTAATCCCAGCACTTGGGGAGGCAGATGCAGATTGACCTGTGAGTTTGAGGCCAACCTGGTCTGGAAATTGAGTTTCAGGACAGCTAGGCTACACAGAAAAACCCTGTCTCAAAAACAAAAAACAAAAAACAAACACACAGAAAGAAAGAAAGAGAGAGAAAGAAAGAAAGAAAGAGAGAGAAAGAAAGAAAGAAAGAGAAAGAAAGAAACAGACAAAAGGAGGAGAAAAGAGAAAGAGACAAAGGGAGAAAGAAAAGAAAGAAGAAAAGAAAGCCCACACTGCAGAGTGAGGGGAGGGAGGATTGGAGGCGCTGGCACTGGAAGCCAGACTTGAGATTACAAGGTTTCGGTGACTCCGGGGCAGAGCAGCGCCCTGCCTGGGGCAGGTGCAGCCGATGGCTTCTGGAGCTGGTAGGAGGTAGAATGGTAGGTTACCAGTAGATCAGGAGTGGGTTAAGGAGGCACCCAGGGTCATGGCAGGGTTCAAGCTGGGCACTTTCTGGGTAAAGAGGTGTGGTTTTGAGACAGGAACATTAAAGAGAATTCATAGGTTCTAGGGTGATGACACAAGGTGTTTGAGGAAATGGTGAAAAGAGTTTAGGAAAGCCACGAGGAACCCAGAGTTAGTGAGGATTCTTCTGCAGGGAAAGGGGAACGTATGGATAAGAAAACCCAGGAGGGCATGCTAGTGTATAGAGGGAGAATGCTTGGGAGGTTGGCTTTTGCAGAGTGAGGCTGCTATGCGGGCAGAAGATGTGAGGAAGAAGGTGGGTGGAAGGTCCCAGGGAAGACAGGCGCTAAGGTCAAAGATACAGGGACAGCGTCGAGAGGAAGGGTTGTCTTTACCCCTGGCAAAGAGAAGGTGAGGGTGAAGAAAAAGTTTTCCAATCTAAAACTCTACTTTTTTTTTGGAAAGAAATACCACCACCTTCTCCTCCCATCTAGAGGATGCTTCTTCGTATACTGTAAGCGGTGTGTTCATGTAGGTTTCCTGTGTATCTTTTGTTGAAATATGACCTAGTTTATTACTGGGTGCAGCCTGCTTTTTTCAGACCTTGTCATGTCAGTAAGTTTTCACTGCATGCCGTTTACAGTCCATGTCGGGATGCCCAGGTCACATGTCCCTAAAGCATCTTACACAGCTGGTCTGTCCAACCCCGGAGTCCAGTCCTGGCTCACACACTGCAGCTAAATCTTTCGTCCCTCAAACCCCTATATCCTTTGTGGTTTAAAAAGTCCTTACTGCTGGCTACTACGGGGCTGTACGTAAGGGAACATAGGTAAGAGTCTGTAATCTGCTGCTGGGGGGAAGAGGATTGGGGGTTTGAAGGCCTCTTTCAGGTGTGACCGTTTGGGAATGTGGATGGCCTTTAGCCACCCTCGTCAGAGTTTTTAGTGCCTCTTTGGCTGGAAGCTCAGGGGTCTTCTGGCCGATGACCCTGGCTGGCCTCCCTGTTGGGCCTGTGGGGCATCTGAGAGCTGTGCCCACATGTCTCCCCTGGTCGTTCCTATAAGGATTTACTTCTTGTCACGTGCTGTTTTTGTCACCTGACATTTTTTTTTTTTTTAAACTTCTACCATAACCTTTTGAAGTGGGTGTCATCCCAGTAATAGACGGGGACACAGACAGGAGGAAGAACTAAATTACTCGCTGACCAGACAGTAAGTGGCGGGGCCAGGAATTAAGCCCAGACCTGCATGACCCCAGAGCCTGCCCAACTCAGGTGCCCTGACAGAGAGGCTCTTTGTCTCTAGAACATATTAGTAAGAGGGATTAAGACCCGGCAGGGTGGTGCCCTGTGCCTTTGTAACGAGCCTTGATTCGGGGACCTGTCCAGAGGGCTAAAGGTGCATTTGACATAGGCAGAAGGTTAGCAATGTAGAAGCGGAAAGTCAACTTGGGTCTAGATTTTAGGATTTAAGAACAATATTTTCTGTATTTGAATTTCTTTTATTGTTTCTTTCTCCCTTTCTTCCTCCCTCCGTTCCTCTCTCTTTCTAGTTTGGAATTTCAAGGTGAGTGTGAGGAGTGGTCCTAAGTCCAGGAACCAGACATAATCAAGGGTCAGACCCCAAAATCCAGACAGTGTAGACTGTTTTCAGGGCTCCACAACAGGGAAGGGGACAAGGACTGCGATGCAGATCTGGCTCAGATGTGCCCTCTGGTGGTCAAGGCTGGGCCTGCATGCCGTCTCTCCGTCTCAAGGGGTGCCTCCTTGTGTCAGGGAGGTAAGGCCATGGTGTCCAGCCAAGTCCTAAAGCCTTAACTGTGTGAGGAGGACAGCCATAAAGGGAATGAGAGCAAAGCTACTCTCTTCTGGTTGATTCCGATGTCCCCAGAACACGCTCTCAGCTCCAGGCTTCAAATCCCGTCCCAGGCTGAAGAGGCAGGGACAGCATGAAGCAGGGTATCCAAAAACAGGCCCTGAGTGTACTTCCTCTTCTGGGAGGCTCCTGTGCCCACAGCTGGCAAGCTGGCTGCAACAGGACTCTGTGCAAGTCAGAGCTCCCAGTGCCCACCACCCCACCGTGTCCCCGGGACTGACCTTGACCTCTCGTCTCTCCAGGGCTGCATTGTGATCCGATACACGGCCCCCTGGCACATGGTCTTCTTCTCTGAGTCCCTGGGCATTCCCTCCCTTCGTGTGATCGCCCAGAAGCTGCTTGAGCTCCTCTTTGACTATGAGATTGAGCGGGAGCCCCTGCTCTTCCACGTCTTCAGCAACGCCGGCGTCATGCTCTACCGCTACGTGCTGGAGCTCCTCCAGACCCATCAGCGCTTCCGCCACCTGCATGTGGTAGGCACCGTCTTTGACAGTGGTCCCGGCGACAGCAACCTGGTCGGGGCCCTGAGGGCCCTGGCCACCATCCTGGAGCACCGGCCCGCTGTGCTGCGCCTGTCGCTCCTGGCGGCATTCGCGCTGGTGATCGTCCTGTTCCACTTCCTGTTTGCTCCGTTCACTGCCCTCTTCCACACCCATTTCTACGACAGGCTGCAGGACTCAGGCTCCCGCTGGCCTGAGCTCTACCTGTACTCCAAAGCTGATGAGGTGGTGTCAGCCCGGGACGTGGAACGGATGGTAGAGGCTCGCCTGGCTCAGCAGGTCCTGGTGCGCTCAGTGGACTTCGTGTCATCCGCGCATGTCAGCCACCTCCGTGACTATCCTACGTACTATACGAGTCTGTGTGTTGACTTCATGCATAATTGTGTCCAGTGATGAGATCCTGCTCCAGAAATAAACGCCGACACCTCCCTGTAACCTCCATCTGTCCCGGGGCACTGCTAGGGTGGCTGCTCCCTTCAGTCCTGGGATGGGTGTGGCAGGGCAGGTATCTGTGGGCGGCCTTACTCGGACAAGCGCAGTAGGATTCTGATCCTGGTGTTTGGGGCTGTGAAGGGTTAACACTGTGTGTGTCTGTTGGAAGTTTTTGTAGATCAGGCCAGCCTCGAACTGCCTCTGCCTCCCCGGTGCTGCCATCCAAGGCGTGCGCCACCACACCACACCCAGCTGGATAACTGAAAATTTATACTTGTTGTTGGAATTGAGTTTAGGTGTGTGTCTGTGCGGTGTGTGTATGGGGGGAGTGTCGTGTAGCCCAGGCTGCCTCAATCTCACTATGTAGCTGAGGATGACCCTGTCTCTGCTTCCCAGGTACCATGATGACAGGCATATGCCACCATGCCTGGCTTGAATGTGGGTTTCTTGAGTGGAAGGTGCTGAAGAGTAACAGAAGACAGTAACAGCCCAGGGAGCAGGCTGTGACCTTTCTCTGGAAGGTCCAGGCGTCAATGTAAGGAATTGTCCCCCTAGGCCGTCTCCGACCTTGTGGTCTGGAATCTCAGGCAGATACCAGAAACACCATTTGAGATCTGAAGAGTATTTGGGGTCTCCTGGTGCCACTGAATCTGAGGAATGTGATGGCTGTGTATTTAAGGTTAAGACAAAGAAGGGAGCAGAAAGGCTACCATGCTCAACAGGAGGAGGCTGTGCTAACACTCTTGGGGACCAGAACCCTGCAGGAGAGGATCCAGGCTGAAACGCCACCTTCCTAAGATAGTTTCCTGAGGTAGTTTCACTTAGCGCCCTCCAGCAGGAAAGATGGCTGCACCGTCTGAGCGGCAGGTCACAGCTGCACAGTGATAGGCACAAAATAGGTTAGCTATTCAATAAGTATTTGTTGACTGGATGAACTTTCTGTGATCAAGGGTTTGAGAGGGCTTTCAAAGTTTGGCTGGCAGTTTGAAATCTGTGGGTGAGACCCCTCAAAGACTCCAGAGGCCAGCTGTGTCTGCAGGGACTCCCTGATCCCTTGGAGATGTGGGTACATTCCTCGCCATGGCCAACAGGTGGCAGTGTTGCCTGCACCATGAGACAGCTTATGGCACGCTTTGTGGAGCTCAGCGGAATGCCTGCACCGTGTTAAAGGTGCCCTATTAGTGTGTGTGGCACCTGGGGTGGGGTAAGCAGCTGTTGAGGACCCGGAGTTCAAGGCAGGGGAAGGGGACAGTAGAGGCGGGAAAGAAGTCCGGCTGCCCAGAACGGACCGCTGGACCTCTTCCCAGGTTATCATCTGGGTTGCTCACCCCAGTGTAGCCTGGATTTCAGGCCCTAGGAGCTCTGTGCTCAGATGTCTGATGCCACAAAACGCAGGGCATCAAGCCATGGACGGCCTTTGCGGGGTTCCAACAAGGAGTCCTCACAAAGGGAGGTGGGAACTGCCAGCTCATTTCTATAGTTCTGTGGGCATCCAGAAGTGGGTACCTAAGGCATGCCTGTAAAAATGTGTCAAGGAGTTTGGCTCTTGGCCCGGGAGTCTGAGCAACTATCTTTTTCTCATTTCTCTGGTGAAGGCTCACCTGGAGGTGCTCTCTCTCTGCAGTCCTCAATGCCTAAAAGCAGTCTTTAGTTGAAGGTCTGTCTTTACCTAAACATCTAGGCAGGAATTCTATCACGTTCCAGGGGACCGGGAAGAGAGCCAGGAAGCTCAGCAGGTGATCCATGGCACATTTCAGGCGACTGAGGCTCAGAGCTTGACTTGTCTGTAGCTGCTTCTGTCCTAGGTTGGGGACTAGAGCGTGTATCCCCTCTGTACCCCAAGCTCTGACCTCTTTTGTGATTAATGAGCTGACGATTCTACATCGATAAGGAATTAACCTGGAGCCCCTTCCCCATCAATAGCCAGGAGCCCAGATCCTGAGCCCCACCCCCACGCACCTGCTGGGATGCTCCGGGGAGCACCCTGCATGGCTTCACACACCAGTGTCGCGCTGCACAGGACGGGCTTTAACTGCACCAGTCACCACCTTCCCCGGAGCCCCCCCTCACACACAGACGGCAGCTGGTTTATACTGGTTTAATCCATGTCAAATGTAGTTTACAAAGGGAAAGGACAAGTACCTTTGTATAGAATATACAGACACAGCATCACATCACAGGGCCCGAGGGAGGGGCAGGGAGGCAGCATTGCCCCTGGGAGCCGCACTGCCACTCCCGAGAGTTCTCCACAGCAGGCCAGGCAGCCAGGCACCCTCAGCCAGCCCAACTGCAGCCTGCCCGAATGCTCCTGCTCGGTCCCACTTTCCACCCTACCCCCAGCTCCTCATAATGAGCCCCATGAGCTAAGACTAAGGAGAGGATCATATCCCTTGGGGCAGAAGCCCCATGTCTGGGAGAAGAAATATACACCACTGAACACTGAGCACATGGGATAGGGAAGGGACGCCAAGGGGAAGAGGGAAAGGCAGGCACCTTAAGAGGTGGTTGGGCCGAGCCCCCAGCCAGCCCTGAAGGGGGCACTGCTTCCAGGAGTCATTAAAAAAAAGAAGAAAATCATACAACCAAAGGGGAGGTGGTCGAGGGCAAAGTGTCCCATTTATACACAACATTGTAAACATACACAGTCTATATTACATGTGCTTCAGTCTGGTGTTTGCATGTCTGTCTGTCTAGGGACTAGATCTCAGGAGCCTTGCCCTGCTACTCCCCAACCCACCTCCCTGCCCCTCCCTGGAAACAGCCAGAAGAGGCAGGGGCCCCAAGTTCAGAAGGGACAAGCAGGCGGGCTGCTCCACTCTGGCTCCCGAGTCCTCTATGTGTTTGGGTGTGTATGTGCATGTATGTACATGGGGAACCTGTGTGCAAGTATGTACAAAGGGAGAGAGGGGTCCCTGTCACAGAGGCCAGGGCAGGTGGGGTTGCTCGGGACACGGCCTGCCTGGATGGCTAGCTCACAAGTAGATCCTCCGCAGGTCTCCAGGCGCTGTGATGGTGTTGCACTGGGGGCAGAGCTTCTTGGCACCCTGAAGAGAGGAAAAAGGGGAGGGCTCAGTGACGCCGCGGGGCCTGTGTCTGTGCACGAGCCCTGGGCCTGCAGCCGCGTCTGCACCAGCTTGTGCTGGGACCTCATTCTTGTCAGCCAGGCTGGGGATCGGGGATGCATGGGCTGCCTCTGAGCAAGCAGACGTGCTCCTGTGTTGGGGAGACGCCAGGATCAAACCGCCTGGCTAGCCCCACAGCAGGAGCCCCGGTAATGAGAACAAGGCTGGGTCCAGCTGTGGCTGCCTCGGCCCTAACGAGATTACACGCGGCCTTTGATCAGGACACAGAGCCCACGTCCGGGCCTTTTATTGCTGTCTCCAGGCGACATTTTAATGGCTGCTCCCGAGGTAAGAACAGGGCAGGAGCAGAAGGAGCTTAGTAATGGGAGGGGGAGGGGCAGAGGCCCTGGTCTGGCTTAGCCAGCACCAGTCTCTTTCTGGCCTGGGGTCTCACCAATGCATGTGATGCACCCGGGCCTACTTGGGGTGGGAAGAAGGGAGCATGCTGTGAGCGCACGGAGGGGAGAACTGAATAAACCCAGAGCGAGGGCGCAGACACCTGGGAGTGAATTCCTAACCTCAGGCTCTCCTGCCTCCCAAGCAGGGGCAATCACACACGAGCATCTGGACAGGGCCCCTAACAGCTGCCCACCTCCCCCCTTGCTGCCTCACCAGAGTCCGCAGCCAGCACTCCTCACAGTGCACATGCCAACACTGGATCGACGTCAGGGGCATCGAGTAGGAGTCCTAGGGCATAGAAGGGGTGGCTGAAGTAGGCTCGCCCTCTCAGAGACCCTCCTAACCCCCGCCGGGCGCTGATACCTGACCAAGAGCATTCCTGGATTCCTTCCTACTTACCATGCAGATGAGGCATTTGTAGCGGTCCCCCCGAGATAGCTGCCGTTCAAGCTCCCGGACCCGAGCCTTCAGGGCCTCAAATGTAGTTACAGCTGAATCTTCAGTGATTCTGTAAAGACAACGCACAGCGGGAAAGCACGGTGGTCCCTCCACCCAGAACCACAGGAAGAACCTCCTCTCCACATCGCCACCTGCCAACCCCACAAAGCTAGACTCGGTACCCTGCATGTCCACATGATCGGCGGCGCCCTCCAGCACACCCTCCCTCACCCTCGCTCACCCTCAGCTTCTAAGCCTGTCACCTCTTCCTAGCACCTCTGCAACCTCCACCGCTGCTCTTACCACAGCACCACGCTGCAGCCTTAGGGGTTTCTGTCTGTTGGTTTCTGTTTTAAATGGTCTCTCCGGATATGGTGGCACGTCTTTAATCCCAGCACTTGGAAGGTATAAGGCAGCTATCTCTGAGCTTTGAGGTCACTCTGGTCTACAAAGTGATTTCAGGACAGCCAGGGTTACAGAGACCCTGTCTCAACATAAACCAAACGAAAAGTCTCAGGTAGCCTAGGCTGCCCTCAAGTCCTGTATATAACTGAGAATAACCCTGAAGTTTTAAAACTAAATCTCAAAATTTATTTAAAAAATTTGGGGGGGAGGTAGCTATGGTGATACACAGCTTTAATCCCAGCACCCAGGACTCAGAGGCAGGGGGATCTCTGAGTTGGAGGCCAACCTGGTCTATAGGGCTAGTTCCAGGACAGCCAGGGCTATACAGAGAAGCCCTGTCTCAAAAACCAAAAAACTTTACTTTACATGCTGTGCCTGTAGAGGACAGAAGAGGGCATCAGGTCCCCTGGAATTGGGAGTGACAGACAGTTGTGAGCTGCTATGTGGGTGCTGGGAATTGAACCTGAGTTCTCTGCTAGAGCAGCCAGTGCTCTTAATTGCTGGACCACCTCTGGCCCCTTCATATTTTTAAATTAACATACAAAGTATGAGATTTCATTGTGATATTTTAAAAAAGTACTTCCTGCCCTTCTCAGTGCTGGGATTCTATCTAGGGCTTTTAACACGCTGGGAAAGCATTCCAGCAACTGAGCTATACCCTCAGCCCTTCAACTTAGGTTTCTAAGGATCACTTTATTAACCCAAACTCAGCAAGGCCCAGTTCCCTGAAGGCAGAGACTCACTTGCCAAAACATTACTAGTGACGCTTTACTAGTGGCATATCCCTGCTCGGGACATGTGAGCATGAGAGAAAGTTGCCAGTCCAACCTTCAGGGAAAAGATGGGAGATTTAGGACCTAACTGTTCGAGGTAGTCTTAAATCTGTGATCTAAGATGAAACAAAACCAGCAGCATCGAAAAACAAGGAATAGTTAGGATAATCTCAAAGATCCCTCCCACCCCTCTGAAAAGCAACAGCACTCTCAGGAGAGAAATGCTTCCTGGAGTAGAATAAACAATGGTATTGGGAATGTGCCTTAGAGAGTAACAATACTAAACAAAACAGCTAAAATTTATTAAGTACCTATTAGCTGCCCGGGATTTTTACCCAGGAACTGATATTTATGCCTCATAAAACCCCTGTGAGAAAATGCTCATTTTACATGTGAAGATGTCAGATTGTGACAGACCCAGTCCATACTGCTTTCAGGAGGAGTCTCTAGGCCAAGGAATAGTAGTGACAAAAGCTAAGCATCCCATGAGCCCATGCAGGCTGGAAGTCAAGCAGGCACAAAGTGAGAAAGGAGACTGCTCCAGCCAGCAGCAGGAACTGGTTATGAGCGCCTGGGGTAGTAGTGAGATATGACAAAAGAGGGGAGGGTTAAAAGATGCATTCCCTCAGGACTGCACGGAGGCAGGGAGGCTTCAGTGGAGGCACACTGTAATGGTGTGGGGATGCAGTGTTCTGAAGGAGGCTGTTCGTGTGGAGGACAAAGCTGCAGAACTTACAGGTGGTCCGACTACTGGACACAGCAGTCAGAAGGCACTATAAGGAAGGTCATGGGGACATGTTCATTTTAGGTTTTTGAGATGATGTCTCTACACATCTCAGGCTAACCTTACCTGCATATGCAGTTTGGGTTACCCTCAAACCCATAGCCCTTTCTCAGCCTCGGGAGTGCAGTGATTACAGGAGTGTATTCCCATGCCCAGCTGGCAGTACTAACATTTAATGGACAACAAATTTCAACGTCTATTTTTTTTTAAGGACACCAGCAGCAATCCACAATGTGACTCCCTAGAGGGTGTACATGATGGGCCCATAACTATCTACCCACTTCTCCAGGGACACTGGGAAGGCTTGGGCCAGCTCCTTTTAGTGCTGGCAGGTTCCCTGAACCTCCTTGCTCAATCTCAAGACTCTGGGAAGCCTTCACTGTCCTCTTCTTCATTAGCTTCTTCTTTGGCACTTTGCTCAATGCTATAGGTACCATCCCTGTGTGGAATGTTGGTAAATTTTCAACATGGATAGGGAGCCATGCTCTCCTACCTTTCTCTCTAAGGACCACATTCTAAGGTTAGCCCCAAGAACTACAAAGCCACAGAGGGCTGGAAGACAGCTCCAGAATGAACTGCTTAGTACAAACAGCATCTCTAATTTGATTGGTGCAGGACCGAGGCTGGCATGACAGCTTTTTCTGAGTCCCTTTAGGGCAGATTCCTAGAGGAAGCGCCGGCCCCCTTCTCTTCCCCTTCCCTGAGTATAAGATGGAACTAGGACGTCACGGGGACTGAAGAGCATCAGTCCCGGTGGATCTAGACCCAATGGAGACCTGTCTAGCAGCTGCAGTCCTACCTTGCCCTAGAGTGCCCCATCCACCGGAGCCTGTGCTCACACAGGTGGGAGAGAAATGCTGGCTTCCCCCAGCCTTGGGTGGGTAGCACCTTCATGGATGGCCACTGCCTCTGGCCCCTGCCTCCCCCTCGGGCAGCATCCTTGATTAATGATCTTGTCTTTCTGATTTATGAGCAGCCCCTCCAGACGAGGGTGGGCGCCCCTTACAGCCCCGCCCGCCCCGCTCAGCTGGAGTAGAAGAGAATTATTAAATAAACATCCATACGTCACCCCCCCCCCCCCAAGCTGGTTGCACCGAATCCGTATGGCCCGCTCCGGCGATGACACGGAGCAGCTGCGGTGATTCATGGGCAGCCGGGCCCTGCGCTGCGGCCCATACATCATGCCAGCAGCACTTGCGGCCCCGGCCGAGATAAACTGATCAAGCACAACGGGCTGGAATGAATTTATGACAACACAAAATGGAGGGAAACAAATGGGAGGTGACCCAGGCCACCGACCCAGCCCTGCACTGGCCTGCAAGCCACTCTTCTGGCAGGAGGCAAGATGGAACACTGGCCCTAGAATGAAGAGGCTACCTTTTAACCCCAGGCAACCCATCCTCCAGCTGGAGGGAGGGGTAGGTTCAGAGAAAGAATCAATGGCCAATGGCAGCCATTCCAGGCAGCCCAGACTGGACAACTGCAGCTCCTGGGGCCAGCACTGGTCTTTCTCAGGCTTCTGGAAAGGTAGCAGGATGGCCGGCTGATCTCAAATCCTGTGGCGCTGTCCAGCCGCCCTGGGTAAAATAACAACGGATCTCCTTTTCCTCTGCTGGAGAACCCTGGCCAAAAATTCCTACTGGAAGTGATGAGCCCCAATGTTCCTGACTAAAACCTGCTGCAAGCGCCACCCGGGACAAGAAAAATGAAACCAATTTAGCTCCCGATTAAGAAACAGAAACTGGAGATGAATCAAGTGCACTGGCTGGGCTGGGCGGCCATACATCACCTTCCACGGCGGGGGCAGCTGCAGCGGGCAGGAAGGACTGCTCCTCTCCACCAAGGCTCCCAGGGCCATGGCTCAGTGATCAATTCACAGAGTCACGCTTAGCACCAGCTGGGCTCCACAGCCGGCTGTGTGCCCAGGGCAGCACGACTGAGCTGTACTCAGAGGGCCTGGAGTCCTGGCAGCAGGCCTTCCTGTTCGCAAAGGGCCCCTTTCCCAGCCAACCATACTTACTTCTCAATGTCGCTGTTCTTGCAGGTCTTCTGCATGGCCTCCTGCTTGCTGCTTTCACCATTGCTGGTGGATGGCATCTCTGCAGGGACACAAAAGTTCATACTCTGGCTAGGTGAGCAGCACAGTCGAGTGCTTGGGACTGAGACAGTCAGCACCATCGAAAGATGTCCTCTCCCAACTTCAATCCTACTAAATCTGGGTCAGGACTTACCATCACTGGCCCATTTGGAGAACTCAGGTGTGATGCGGGTGCTTGGGGGGCCGCCACTAGAGGAAAGGAAGGAGAAAAAGCTAAGTGAGGCCTGCAGGACAGCTGAGCCCTGCCTCCAGGGATCCCTCCAGAGGATGCCCACGCCTCTGCCCACACTTGCTTTAGGACTGCGCCCCGGAGTGCCTCTCTCTCCTTGGCTTCACCAGGCTCTTCTCCTGTGCAAGGGATGACATCGGCCTCCGTGTATCTGGCATGATGGTCAAGGACAATAGATCCAAGGTTGCAGTAGGACAAAAGGGCTCTGAATCCTGTGGAGCACCCCTGACCCCCAAAGTTGAGACTGGCTCCAGGAGTACGATTACGTTTTAGAGGCACCAGCTACTTTTGCTATTGTTGGTCTGTCCCACTTTGCCCAAGGATACTGTGGTTTCCCATACTCCAGAGTGTCATCCCCATCCACATCCAGGTCAGCATCACTGTCTGGGTTCTCTTTGCCACTGCACATGACGAAGCCGGAGCCTGTGGGAAGCAGAGTGTAAGAAGGGCCAGAGGCCAAGAACTAGGCCAAGGGTGCCCTTTCTGCTGCTCCCAGGTAGCAATTAGGTTCAAGACTAGACAGAAATACATACAAGCAGACATTCAGGTACTTCTGTCCCCTTTCTCTGTATCCCTCTCTAACCTTTAAACATACTCATGCAGCTCCAGGTTGTCTCTGCTTCTAAACTGGCACGTTCACACACTATGTCAGGTCTTTAGAGGACACTGTGACAGGCCTCCTATACACCTGTCTTCCAGTTTCAGGAAGAGCAGAAAGGGGGTAGAGACACTCAGGTCACAACGGTCACTCCCAGCTATCACCTGCGCCTCCCCATCTCACTGTCCAGCTTGACCCATCAGAGAGGAGAAAAGGCTGCTTAAGGCCAATCAGAGCCACAGAGTAGGACCCCCAGCCAACATTCTGATTTGGGCCACCAGGTCCTTTGCCAGCAAAAACACCAGGCAGCTGTTCAAATATTTGGTGTCTGAAGCCTGACATTAATTATTCATCTGCACCTCACACAGCCCAGATTCCTGGACAAGTGTAGTCAGAAAGGGATTAGAAGGGGACAGACGAGGAGGGTGGGCATGCACACCTGCCTCAGAGCAGTCACGACGGCAACTAGCCGGGGCAGGGAGGCCAGGCCAGACAGGCTGCTGAGTTCCAGAGGGCATTTGTCCCACCCAAAGGCAGACTCTTAGCTAGTGTGAAGGGTGAGCTACCAAGACTTCAGCAAGCCCACTTCATATGCCAGGTAGCCTCTGACCCCAGAACCACATTTCCTGACAGGCCAAGGTCAGAGGCGAAAGAGCTGTCCCCACATCTTTGTCCTTGTTGGTCTCAAGTGACATCTTACTAGCCAGGTCAGCAGCTCTGCCAGGGACAAAGGAAAATGAAGGACTCTGCCCTCAAGATTCTGAAGAGGAATCTTTTGTATCAAAGAGGAAACACAGAGCTCTGCCTACTCTGCAATCTCAGAAATGTCTGCTTCCTGCCTCAGTCCTCTCAACACAGTCCAACTCTTTCTCCTGCTCCATGACCAACCACTGAAAGCTCTCCACTGCACGCCCAAGTCCAGGCCCCAGCCTCAGCCCTCCCTCCAGAACGCCTATGTACGCAGACACAGAGACCGCTTGTGGTGCTGTACACATAGCTATCCACTCGCCCTCATCAGGTTACTTTATCAGGATGTGCTTTCAGGCAGCACCTTTTCCCTGACTCACCCCTTTCACCCTTCAGTCTATGCTGAGGTTCATTCCATATGTCCACCTCTGAGGCTAGCCAGTGCCTAGGCCCTACCTTCCTGACAGTCCTCATTTGGCACCTACCCAGAGGGACTGATACACTTGAGGCAGCAGGCAGGTCAGCAGCAGAGCCATTAAGCTGAGAAAACACCGAGTTACAGCTCTGTCTCCTATTCACAGCCAGGTGTCCTGACAAGCAATTCCCACCCCGAGGGTGAGTGGCACCTCTATAAACCCTCTGACAGTTTGGGAGACAAACTCCGCCATCAATCAGAATGTAGCTATCAGGTTCATTTACAGCCCGTACCCCACAAGCCCCGCCAAACCCTGCCAGCCTCAGCTTCCAAGTTCAGTGACGGCCTCACATTCCCTGCTCAGCCTAGCCTAGTCCTGCCTTATGGGCGGAGAAAATGAAAGCGAGCTTTAGTACCACCTCTGAGACCAATGTAGCTCCCTTGGCTGAACAGAGAAACGAAAGCTGCCAGGAAGCCTCACTATTTCATAGGCTGTTTCACAGCCTAGCCTGAAGTACTTTCTTCTTGCTGACAGAAATGACCTTTCACCTTCTATATTCTTTCAACCTTTTGGCGGTCACCCAGTGTGGCCTGGTATGAAGTTTCAAGATCTGGTCCCCCATCCTCCAGGTGATCTGAGTGCTTATACATACCTGTCCCTTCCTTGATGTCCATCCCAACTCTTCGATCATGTTCGCTGGACCAATCTGTTCAGCAGACTGCCAACGTCTCACTCCCAGCGTCATGCACACCACCCACCTCAGCAGTACTGGCTGAATACTGGCTCTACCACTCGTATCTTATGGACTCCATGCCAGAAGGAAGGCCAGGCCTAGTTGGTTACTGCCCAGAGAAACCTACCAAAAATCTTGCCCAGTTTAGCAGCAATCTTCCCTTATTCTGACCGGTGAGCAAAGAAGGTGGACATGATCTATCTTGCTAGCTAAGAAAAGGCCTTCCTGCCTCTGACCTGAGCAATCTTCTACTCTGACACTCATCCCAGCCCCCACGCTGAGACAGATGTGAAGAACCTCTCTCTATACCTACAGGTGTTCCAAGAAGGCTGCCGCCACCAATTTCACTCTGGTACTCACCCCAACATGCTCCAACCTCCCTTCCCAGCACATTAAACTTTATTTTCTTAATGAAATGTCACTTGCTGACTTCTGGCAGAATCATAATAAAAAGAAACGGCCATAAAGCCGTTTTATGCAGAAAGCACCCCTGCCAGCTTGCCCCCCCCCCCCCCCCCCGCCCCCCCCCCCCCCCCCCCAGCCTTGGAGAGGAAGGCTCCACAGTCATTTTATGTTCTCAGCTGCTTGGAATATCCCAAGCCAGTACTCAGAGGCAAGATGGCACAGAGCTCCTTTCCAAGTCTTTGGCCCCTCTTCCCTTAGCTCTGGGAAGAGCAGGCAAGCTGCTGCTCCTGCTGCTGCTGTGCCGGGAACAACTTGGTCCCTAGGACCTCCAAGATGATTCTGACAGTTCCCGGTCACCAGGGAGGCTCCTCTGCTGTGGTTCTGCTTCAGATGAAAAGGACAAAATGGCTAGCAAACTAAGTGGATGGCCAACAGTGCCCAACAGAGTTCCCTTCCCTTGAGTGGATGCCTACAAAGGAGTAGGAGAGGGTTAAGTGCCGAAATGATATGTAAGTCTAAATTTTATGAAAATGACCTTTCTCCCATAAACTCATTTCTTCCTGGGCCACTGAGGGGGGAGGGAAATCACTGTTAATTTAATCAATTGATCAAATGATCGATTGGGAAACTGGAGATGCCCGTTTACTGGGGGCTGTAACATCCTGGAACCTGAAACCACAGAAAAAGAACCATTGATTCCCTCACCTGCTGCTCCCAACCAAACCAGAGCCTGGGCAGAGTCAAGTCTTGGGGCCTCCTAGAGCCCAGTGCTCGCCTACAGGGAGGGCAGGGGCAGCAGCTTCCGGGGAGTTTTACACTGGAATTAGTTACAGATGCAGTTACGGTGTCTTGTGTAAACGCCATCGATTGGGGAGCTGACAGTCTGGGGAGCTGCGATGCGGGACAATCAATCGGCCTGCAGTGTCACCTGCCACCTCGCTGAACAGTTGACAATGCAATTATCCAGTGTGGAGGCAGGGAGTTGGCGTGTGTCAAACGCACTTAGCCACTTTCCGGGCCTTCTCGATAACGCGTTTCACTGCCTCACGTCAGGAGAGTCACACAGAGGCAGACGCCGTTTAAACCATTGATACTTGCTCTTTCTGCCTGCACTCCCTCTGTTCCAGCCTAACAATTGTGTTCCAAAAGGTGATTAAATCCTGTCCACTGCCACAGGGGACAGAAGCCTTGCTCCTAGCCACACCCCTCCCAACAGGCAGCCATCGTAACTGAACATGGAGAGTTAGAAGGCAGCACCCCTACCTTCTGTTCCAAACCTGTTTCCAGTGGTAGACTGTTCCAACATGTGTCACCAACAAGACTAAAGAACACAGTGACAATCAGGGACATTATTTTAGCAACTGGAGCTCCCATCTTGGTCCATGCTGGTAGATTAACAACTTTCACACTCTTGCCTCATAATCTGTTGACTAAGTTTTATCAACAGTTATTTGAAAGAGCTGCACTAAAGTTGCCTCGACCTGTTCTCTCAGGATTCTTTTAACTGCAGGCTACTTAGAAGCAGCTTAAATAAAGAACAGAAACCCAGGAAAGACAGAACCTTAGGCCGGTCTGGCAGGGCAGTAGCCCTCCATAACCACTGTCGTAGCACCCTCCCTCTGCCTACTCACCCGCCCTCCCCCATCACACACATACAGACTAGGCAGCTCTCGCTGGTCTGGAACTCACTATGCAGACCAAGCTGGCCTCAAACTTAGACACCCGCCTGCCTCTGTCTCAGGAATGTGGGGACTAAAAAAGTGCACCACTGTATCCACAACACTCTACCTGTCTAACGGGGTCTTTGTGCTGCATTCCTTCAAGGCTCCAGCCAGTGCGCAAAGACAAAGGTGCAGACAGAAACTTCCCACTCCATGAGCATGACCACTTCCTGGCAAATACCTCTTCTCGCCACTCTTGCCACATCAGAGCTACCTTATTTAAAACCAATCTTTCCCACGCCCTTTGTCCAGACTGTCCCCTCTGGATGTACCAAGTTCTGGTTTCCCAAATTCAGGCAACTGAATTATCACTGGCCATCAGTACAAGGGAGGGCTTAACAGCCCAGCACCCACACCTCTTTCCAAGACACAGAGGAGGTAGGAATGAGAGGAAAAGCGAGCCCTGGCTCACTGGTCACGTCTCCTTGACTACAGAGGCCACAGTAAAGTTTCTCCTAAGGGTGCTTCCCTTGTGGACTGTTTCTCTAGCGTGGCAACAATTGCCCTGCCTCCGTTTGGCAGAGTACCTCAGAAAGGCATTTTCACCCTGACTGTTGGCTATCTTTAGGTGAAGCACTGGGCCTTGGGTATTCCACCAGCAGTTAGACCTCAAGTTTTCTGTGAGAAACCAGCAGCTGAGGTGCACAGCCCAAAGAGTGCTCCCTGACTTACGTAGCAGATAAATTACTCTCTAGAAGCCTTTATGTATTTCCTCAGTTTTGTTTTGTGTTGTGTATTTGTTTTTATTTCTTAATCTGTCTGTATTGGGAGGCAGAGGCAGGCGAAGCTCTGTTGAGTCTAAGGGCAGTGTGGTCTACACCGTGAGTTCCAGGCCAGCTGGGGCTACACAGTGAGACCTTGTCTCTACATAAATAAAATATCAATCTATTTGTAGATGGACGTTCCTTGATGCTTTCTTCCTTTTGTCCTGAGACATTAATTCCAAGCATTCTCAGGACCGAGACATCTGAACCTCCTTGTCATTTATCCTAAGCTCCCATGCGCACAGCCTGTTCTTCTAAGCCAAGTGTCTTCACCAAGATTCTTGCTTGACCACTGCCTCCCACAGTAGATTACACTCAAGGCAGCTGATCTGACCCAGGTAGGAAGCTTTGTCGAGGGACCCTAGTCTGGGAGGAGGGACAGGGGCAAGAAGGGATACAGGGACTTATCACAGTTCTTCAATTCTTTCATATCTAACAAGGACAGCAATCTCTGTTCTGTCAGCACGTACAGTTCAGCTTAAATAGGCCTCACTACTTGCCTGCTCATCCTGCCTCTGCCTCCCTCTCTCTCTGAAGTCGGCTGGGCAGCTTCTTCAGCTGGCGTTATCACTCCCTCTAACCGGTCTTGGCAGGCAATCTAATTCCTCCTGAAAAGGTCACCGCCATTTTAACTGCCTTTCAATCACATTAAGCAGGAGCTGCCCAGCTTGCGGCCTGGCCCGCCCGGCGGGCGATCAATGCACTGCACCGACACCAGCAGCCTGGCAGGGCCACACCCAACCCCCCAAGAGTTGGGTCTATTGGCCCTGGCCAAGGAGGGTAGGCTGACAGATGGCCAGCTTTTGCAGATGGGTTTCAGGGGCAGAGGCAGTCAGGATCAGCCAGGGCCTCTCTTTGATAGCCCCCTCCCACTGAGGAGGCTCAGCCTCCATCGCTCCACTCTGCATCGTGGCCCCTGCTGATCTCGCTGTAAAACAGCCTTTCAAGTCAGCCTGTCTTTTGACTGCACTAAGCTGTTTAAGAGGCGGCAGCCGCTTCTATCAGGAAAGCTGGAGCAATTCTCTGCAGATAAAGGCACCTCCGGCCCCATTCCCTCTTCAAGTCTCACTCTTATTCTCGCTCTCCAAATCGCTCAAAGAAAAGCCCTCTTTGAACTCTCCTCAGGAATTCTTGAAAGGAACAACCTCACAGTGTAAACACACCCGGAAAAATGATACCCACCCGAGGCCTAAGAGCTTCTCACACCCATCTGCTGGTGCATCCCATTGCAGAAACACTTCCCTGCAGCAGCAGGCCCCGTGCAGCTTGACCCATCCAGGCACTCCAGGAGTGCCCAAGGGCTATCAGGTCCCTTTCCGTGCCAAGAAACCTAAGCAACTGCTACTGCAACTGGTGTGTATAGCTGCAGCTGAGAGCAGAGCTAATCCAGAACAGCCTTCCAGAACTGACTCAGCAAGGACTGCCTTCAACACTTGTAACACACACCCCGGCGCCTAGGTCCTAGGCTGACAGGCTCTACTGTTCATTCTTGCAAGGCTTCAGACCTGCTAGAGCCCCATCACAGAACTGCTCTGTGCAATGACAATTAAGGCTCTCCGGCTCAGGGGGAAACACCTGGTTTACACTCTGGCTTGTCTTCAGACTGGTGGGCAACATGAAAGAAGCCCAGAGGCACAAAGACCCATCTGCACTGGATGGCACTGAAGGGACCTGATCTCAGCATGAGCCCAGGTGTTGTGGCTCTAAGGAGGCAAAGACTCTCCAAGACTGCTGTGAGGTTCCCAGGGGACACACTCTGTGGCACTCCCAAGGGTGCTGCCAGGAACAGGAGGCAGATGGGATGCAGCCTGGCTCCTTAATGACCACATGCTGTAGTGCCAGCTGTGCCTCCACACAGACAGAGCAAAGAGCCAGAAGCCAAGAAGCAGCTACCTCTCTCCCTTGCCCATGGCAGGAGAGTTTGACAAGAGGACACTGACCCTGGGCACCCAACCAATTCTTCTGTCTCATCTAGGGGGCCAACCCTTGTCTCAGGAACTAGGAAGGCAGCACAGATGAGGAGGGTCCTGCAGACTCTTATGCAGCAACTCGGGGGAGCCCAAGTGAAGCAGGGAGCAGCTGAGCCCAGACCCCTCTTGCTTCAGGGCAGAGGGCGCCCTGGGAGAAGAGATGGGATCAGAGCTAAAATTAGATTCACCAATGAAGCTCATGGGAGGTCAAATTTTGCCATAACTCACTCTCTCCTCTGTAACTGATTTCCCTGACATAGAGCTGAGGAGGAGGAGGAAAATCCAATGTGTTTGCCTAGAAGCCCTGAGGGCCCCGAGTGCTGGAGGTGTACAGCAGGTTGCTGGATTCTCATTTATCAGCCTTAAGAGGGATGGAGTGATAAATGCATAACCGTCCCTTTAATATTTTATGCAGGTGCTAACGCGGCTTGGCTGTCACCTTCAATGCATCACCCGAGGCTGAGAGCCCCCCTTGTCATTGCTAGCTTGCAGCCTCACAATTCCATTTCCCCACCCAAATACATCCACTTTAATATGCACATCACAGGCAGGCAGCACGGTCACAAAGCCCCACCAGCAGCAATTTCCACGTGGTGGAAACGATGACCAGCTACCAGCAGTAACCTGGTCACCATAGTGCCACTGCCCAAGTCCAGCTGCTTTATACCTCGGAAGCCACCTTCCAGGAGCGTGGTGGCCCGTATCCGCTTCTGCCCACACCATTCATACTCCTCGAAGCGGTTGCTGTTGTCATGCTCGATGTCCACGGCGTCATCCTCAGCCATGCAGGAGCCTTCCCTCTGTGAAGAGCAGAGCAAGATCATGCAGAGCCCAGGCCATGCTCACCTGCTCCCGAAGCCTGCAAGGAAGGCACAGCCCTAGCCCCTGCTTGGGGATGCCAAATGGGCTCCCTTGAAATACAACCAATATGGGAATCAAAGACCTGGGCCTCTTCCCCAAAATTTTCCACGGGAGCCCAATCAGGGAATGAGTGGAAATGGAAGCAAAGAGCAGAGAAGAAGCTGCTGAGAGCACAGGGAGACCCCAAGAGCCCAGAGATTAGAAGCAGTCAGCAGCAAGTGTCAAGGAAGGGAGGAGGAAAGGAGGTGGGCGGCCACAGCCCCTCTACCTTAGACAGGCAATGCTCCACATGCCTACTCATCTCCTGCTCCGATCCTGCCAGGGGGCGGTTGCACAGGGGACATACCTGCCCTTCATCTTGCTTCCTCCGTTTCATTTTCCCAATCCGAGCTGCATTTAGAAACAGAAAATAAAGCACGAAATAAGCTGCTGGTCACTGTAATTCTCTAGTTCAGTGTACCATCTGACATATTCTGTCCTGCTGCCAGCCATTACCCCTCTTACTCAGCGCCTGCTGTTGCTCTCATTCTTCAGTGCCTCCTGCTCCTCAGGAGCCCAGGCTTGGTGGGCCAGGAAGTATCTATTCTTGGGCCACAGATTCCTCAAGGGCAACCACCCTCCCCTAGGTGCAGTGCTCAATGAATCCAGTAGGCGGAGATATGCCCTATGATAGGCATGTTCCCCAAAGACCAAAGACTTACTCATTGGTGTTTGGAAATACAACCCTAAAGAACACTTTCTTGGTTAGAATCCCAGGCTATTTTAAGGCTTAATTTGATTTACTATTTACTCACCCTTTAGAAACTTCCTTTGTTCCAGGGCCAGGTGCCCCAAAGTATGGCACCTAGCATACCTAAGATCATGCCAAGAGCAGTATCTCCGGTATCTCCTCTGATATCATTTTATAGGAAAGAGACTGAGGCCCAGTTGTAAAAGCACACAGCATCTGGGTTACATTTTGGGCAGCCAGGTCAGTGGACCTAGGGTACTTGGAGAGGGCAGGCCTTACAGTGCTTACCCAAACCTGTTCCATCACCTCTAATCAGTAGAGAGGGCTGGCAGGCCCCAGGGGCAGAGGCCTGCTTGCCATGCTGTCCCAAAGGGGGCTCAGTTCCAAAGTGCACACTGCAAGCCCACAGCACTGCTAATTAATGCTGAGAGATGCAATCATTTCTAATTAGCTCACTAATCCTTCTCTGCAGTCCTCCTGTCACTGAAGCAAGAAGGGGTCAAACAAGAGGCTCTTTCTCTTTTGCCCCTCCCAGAATTCAAGAGTGGGATAAGTGATGGCCACTTTTGATACCAGAGTGATGGCAAAAGGGTTAGGGAGCTGGTCAAGGAAGGAAAGGTTTTCTGCGGAAGGGCCAGGAAGAACTTTCTTAGATAGGCTGACCCTGACGGGATATGCATGAATACAGTCAGGGCAGGGACACAAAGGTGAGTTAGCATGTTACAAGTTAAGAGTGTCTACTGTATGGACCTCATAGAAAGAGGTTCATTTCTAGCTGCATGTTGAAGCAAAGGTTGTCTTCCCACATCTTCACAGGTAAAGACACCTTACCAAGGAACATGCCTAAGCACTCAACAAGTATCAAAGGCAAGAGAAGAAACTAGGCCCCACTCTACAGCCTAGGAGGCTCCTTTATACCAAGAGCCCTCCTACCTAAGCCTTATCAGTGAGACTACCCCATGAGGGTGCCAGCCTCCCACCTGTTGAAGCAGGTAGTTTCTCTAACTGCAGAACAGTGGCCCTAGAAGGAGCCAAGGCAAAGGGAAATTTACCAGCCCGTAAGACCTGCATGTGGAGTTTCAGAACCTAGGTTGGCAGTCTAATCATCTCTCAATTCTCTGTGTTTCCACGACAGAGATGTACTATACTCTGGGCCTTCTGTACATATAGATCCAGATCCCTGCTTTGCTTGGAATTTTAGGCTTAAGCAGCCTTGATACTGCAGAGCTACAAAGAAAGCAAGCAGAACATGAGAAAGGTGTTGGGCAAAGGCTCCTTCAAATCTTTGGAAATGCAGTGTGGTGTAGTGTGCCTACAGGCTCACCAAGCCTGAAGGTATCCAGAACTCAATGAGGGCACTGTAGCTCAATGCCTGTGGATCCTAGAACTTGGGAGGCTAAGGTTGGAAAAATTATTCTAAGTTCCAGGCTAGCCTGGGCTACATGGTGGACCCTCACCTCAAAACCAAAACAGGACAAAAAGATCTTATTACTGAATAAAGAAATGATTCAACACAATACTTTCAGATGTTCTCTTTGCCCAGGACACCTAAGGCCAGCAGAGGGATCCTTATAGCCCCAGAAGGCTATCCCGACCGGCTAGGCTTCACTTGGAAATTCCCAGGCAAGCAAGGCAGGTTTGGCTAGACCCTCGCCATTCCTGTAAATCCTGAACAAGCTTCCTACAATGTGGTAGGGAGGTTAGTCCAGTCCTTGAAGCTGCCTCTGAGTCAAAACATTTGACATGGCTGCAGCAGCAAAGGTTTTAGGAATAAGGAAACTTTAATCACAGCTCAGCTACACCAACTCGGTGATATCAAACCAACGGGCCTTCAGCCTCCCTTTCCTTCTTTATAAAACACCTGTAGTATTTTCCTCTCCCAGGTGTGGTGAGAATGGTGCTAGTCCACAGTGAGTGCTCTTCTCCCCCCCCCCCCCCCCCCCGCACTGGGCTAAGCCTGGAGATGGCAATCACCTGATAAGGGCTGGGGATCATGGTCTTACTCACCAGCTGGCCCAGAGACCCTAAGCCCTTTACAGCGAACCCCAACTTACACCACACCTCAGTCAGCACAAAAAAGCGGGACCATTCAATTGTGTTCAGCAAACAGGAATGCTCCAGAGGTTTGAATCCAAAAGGGGGGACCGCCAGGTAGTGCAAACACGGCCTGCTTTCAGAAAAGGCCTCTAAGAGCTGTCGAGCACACGCTGATCACCTTTGTGAAATGTGGGCCGACTGATAACTCAAAGAGCCCTGGGACGAGTTAGTTCCTGTTGCCGTGGGAACTCCAGATCTCATTGCATTGTCAAGTCTCAGCAGAGAGGCTGCATTCACACTACTGGGCACTGATTAAAAACTAGAAGAAAAACATTCTCAGCGCCCTGCCGACTTGTATAGTGAGGTCCCAGCAGTCTGCAAACTCAAAGCTGAGCTCCCGAGTGGAATTGTGTAGCTCGTTCCTCATTCTCCGACACTTATTGTCCCCCAGGGTTCTTTTCAGGCCTTTAGAGAGGCTTGGGCACGAGCTGAGTACTGCAACCCTCCATTAGACAGACGGGGAAACTGAGGGCGGCAGCCTTGGTTTGCACTCTCAGACGTTGTGACTGCCAAGTAGTCAGCTGGCCCGATGATGAAGAGACCCAGGCAAGCCAGAAGCTGCGGGCAGTGAAGGAGGGAGGAGGCCGGGGGTGGGGCGGAGGGAGGGGCCGGACCGGACTCACCATTCAATCGGGTTTGCCGGTTGGCTCGCACTCGCAGGAAGGTCTGGGAGAAAATCCCCGGCAGATGAAAAAAGAGAACAGAGCGTCAGACGCGGCCTGGGATCCCGGCCCCTACCCTAGGCCCCGACCCTTACCCAGGTCCGCCCCGCCCCAAACAGCCCGTAAACAAACCTACTTCCTCCCTCCCGCCGGCCCCCCTGGTCCTCCGGCCGCTCCGGGCCCTCGGCATAGCCGCCGGGGGTGCTCTAACGGGACCCCGCGGCCACCGCGCAGTGCCGCCCCAGCCCCAGCCTCCGGCGCTGTGGGCCCCGCGGCAGCCCGGCCGGCGAGGGCGGCGATGCGGGCGGATTCCCCCCGGCTGCCCGGCGGCGGCGGCACCTCAGCTCCCAGCAGCGGCGGCGGCCATGTTGGCCCTGATCACGTGATCCGTCGTCGTAACGCGCTGGAGGTGAAAGTTCACGGGGTTGGGGGGCGGGCAGACCCGGGCCAGGAAATTGCGGGCTTGCCACGGACTAACTACCTGCTGCGGCCGCCCCCTGCAGCCCCTCCCACAGCCCCTAAGGACTCCGTGCCCCAGCCTGGGCGGCCCACAGGTGCTCCCCACCACGCCACGCTCCTTCGGCCCCCGAGGTCGGCTCGGGCTCCTGCTTTCAGCGCGCGGGCCTAGAGCAACACCTCCAAGAGTGCTTTTCCGGGGAGAAGGCATAGGAATTCCAGGTCATCTGCAAGGCCTATATCTCCACCAGTGCCCAACAGGAAGATTTCCTCTCCAGCCCATCGCAGGATAGCCAACACTTTATCGCCTGCAGGCCATTCCTGAAGCTACCATAGGCATCACGTGACCATCAGGCCACCAGCGACCCAGAACAGGCACCATCCTCCTGGGTTCTCAGTACCGCTTGATGCCACTCCCCTCACACTGAATCTTCTGGATCTTGGATATCCACCTTTAAATACTGCACTTTTCTTATCTGTACCTCTAGTCTTTCCTACACAACCTTAAGCTTTGCCTCTGTAAGATTACATCCATCTCTCTCCTCATTTTCGCTTGTATAAATTTGTATTGGTGTGCTGACCACTCCAGAGCTGAAGTTGGTATGAGCCATTTGGGCAAACCCAGAGGCCAGCATGTCTCCCAGCTGTAGGAAGATAACTCCTCAGGATTTCCTCAGTGACTGCCTTGCTTTCACAGCACTTAGTTAAGATTAGCTCTAGATCTCCAGTTCCTCCCCCTAAAAAACTAATCCTCCACACCTGATCTTTCTTTTGTGCAAAATTAACGTGTTTCTTCTTTCAATCTTTCAGGGATTGACCAGAGTCTGCAGCTGGACTCACACCTGCCCTTCGTGGCCTATTTCAGTAGCCTGTTGTAGCACACCTATTCCATCCTTGGACCCCTGACAGCTTTGCAAAGCTACCTATAGATCTTCTGAACACCCTGTGCTCTGGTTCAGACAGCCCCACGCTCTGTGGTAGCCACAGCTCACTGCTGTGCATCCGCCAGGACTCTGGCAAGGCTCCATTTTTTTTTTTTTTATTTCCTACCCCATTACTAGGTTTGTTGTCTCTTGAGTTTTCTCAGTTCCTTAGCTTTCTTCTGATCACGTGTATTTTCACTATTTAAATGTTCTTTTCTTGGAGGGCAGCTCATCTCTGTCTAGTCACCAAGCATAGGTCTGGCATGAAGGAGGTGTCAGCAGAACAGAGACAAACCCTGGGCCAATAAAGAGCTGGGGGATTGCTGTGGTTTGAATATAGAATTATCCCTTATAGGCCCTTATGTTAAAGGCTTGATGTCTGTCTCAGTTCTGTCGGGAGGTGGTAGAACCCGGAAGAGGTAAGGCTGGTGAGAAGTCTTCTGCACAAGCACACACCCAAAGCAACAAGGCCAGCCAATTACAGGCTAAAATCACAAGCCAAAATAAGCCGTTCACGTCTCGGATATGTTACAACAATGGAAACCTTGACTAACACAGAAACAATCTAGGATACAGGGACATAGAGATTCTGTTTCAAATTTTAACTTGTTTCTCAAGAGTTATATTATTAGAAAAGTCTGGAGACCATGAATTCTAGCTTGTACAGTTGCCACGATGGTAAAGTGATGTCATGGTTGAAGCGGGTTAGACACTCAGCAGGGGTTAAGTCAATAGGAGTACAAACCAGAAACCAGGCCCAGTTCAGTGATTTGATTCCCCCCCCCCGTCCCCCAGTGTTGGGGACTGAACCAAAACGAGACCTCAAATATGCTAAGCAAGTGTTCTACTGCTGAGCCACACCTCTGTCACCTCTTATTATTTTAATTTCAAACAGGGTCTAGATAAGTTGAATCTTGAACCTGAGCCCATGCTGGCTTCAGCTTGCAGTTTGTCCCGTTTCAGCCTCCTGGGTAGCTGGGAATGCCCACTGATTTTAAAGTCCAACATATTTGCCTGGCATGGCACAGAAAGAACAGGAGATGCCCAGCGAGTTTCCAGTTTCATGTCTTGCCAATTTCAACTTTCCAAAAACACATCCAGGGAGTGCATAGCTTTACTTCTGCACGCATAGTCCTTTTCAACGAAACTGAAGTGTAACGGGTCCCTCAATCCACCATCCCGTATTATTCCATTGTGCTCTTTGCACACAGCATTGCCTTTATCTAGAATATCTTTTCTTTCTTGTTCACCAAGGGGAACTTCTACTTCTTTTCTAAAATCCAGGTCGGTCATTTCTCCCTCTGTGAGACTTGTTATGATTTTTGTTTCATTGTGTTTAGAAACTTATGTATTCCCTTTTCATCACATTTAAGCACAGCCACAGTGAAGGCAAAGACACTGGGCTGGGCAGGAGTGGTACCAGATCAACGTTTGAGCAAAGGAAGGCAAGGTCTTTGCTTTGGAGAAACTCCAAGGCTAGTCAGGTTCATTGTGATAGATTAAACGTGGTCACTGTTCTCTGCGGATTTTCTCCAGAACAGCATTTCCTCACCCCTTAATTAAGGGCTGACTTTGGGTCTTGCTTCACCCAGTAGAAAATGACAGATATGATGCTGTGTAAACTTCCAGATTCTGGTTTCCAGAAGCCTTGCGGCTTTGGCCACTGTTTTAGTGGGACATGTCCTAGCATCTGCTAAGAACACAAGGTGAGAGGCGGGCTGGAAATGTAGCTCAGTTGCTACAGTGGTTGCCTAGCATGTGTGAGATTCTGGCTTCAATCCCTATTGTCCCTCTGTCTCAGAGAAAGGGGGGGGGGTGTAATATGGCTAGGACAGGAACCAGGGACAGTATAACTGAACATGTGTGAGGCCAGTTCTGAGTGAGGAGCACAGTGAGGGAATGGCTGGTCAACCAGGACTCTATGTCCCACTGCAGAGACACTTCCACATCCATGTTTATTGCTGCATTTACAGTAACAAAGAAATAGAACCAGCCTAGGTGGCCGACAACAAGAATGGATAATGAAGGGCTGGGGCGGGGTGTGGCTCAGCAGTTAAAAGGAATTGTTTTTCACAGAGGATCCAAGTTCAGTTCCCAGCACCCACATGGCGCCTCACAACCATCCTTAACTCCAGTTCCAGGGGATCTGACTCTCTCCTCTGACCTCTGAGGACACCAGGCACTCACATGGTGCACAAACATACATGAAAGCAAAAACACGTTACACGTAAAGATAAACCTAAAGAAATTTAAAGAATGGAAACTGAAAATGTACTATATATACACTATTGAATTGTGTGTGTATGTGTGTGTGTGTGTAGGCTAAAAATGTTGAGTATGTCTTCTAATGCTCCACTTTATTTTTTGAGATGGTCTCTCACAGACCTGAAAGTTCATCTCTGATGGCTGGCTGAAAAGCAAGACCTTGGAACCCTCCTGCCTCTACCCCCAGCCCTGGAGCTATGGGGACAAGCCTGTGCTCTCCATCTTCTTAAGTGTGCTAGGGATCTGAACTCGGGTCCTTGTGTTTACACAGTAAACTCTTTACTCAGTGAGCCGTCTCCCCAGCCCTGCACAACGGAATTATATTCAGCTTGTGAAGAAAAATGAAATCATGAACTTTGCAGGCAAATGGGTGAATCCATAGAGTATTAGATTAAGTAAAATAACCCAGACTCAGAAAAACATTTCATGTTCTTTCTTACATGTGGATCCTAGCATATGTCCATGTGTATGTATAGTTTAAAAACCAGTAACAAGAAGGGAAAAGGAAGTGTTGAGAAACTGAAGACGGCGACAGGACATGTGTGACATGAGAGCAGAAAGGGGGCATGGGCACGGGGTGGAAGGCATGTAAGGAGGACAGGGAGAAGATAGGGGAGGAAGAGCTACAGAACACATTTTATGTGAAATGCCATCATGAAACCAAATACTATGTATAATAATTTAAAAATTTTAAGAGAAAAAAAGGAAAATATTAATTTGTGCCAAGCCAACAAGTTTTGGGGCAGCATGTTGTATATTAGTAGATAATGGGCATGTGTTGGAACAGGTGATCGCAACATACGGTGACTGTGCCAAAACCTGTGACACACAGGGTGATGAGAAGAGGTAGATAATCTGGGAAGGCTTCTTGGAGGAGACAGTGTTTCAGCAGGATGTTGAGGGGCAAGTAGAAATTTGTGGGGTGAAAGATCCCTGTCAAAAGTAGCTTGTCTAAGGAGAGGGAAGGAAGAGAAGGTGTGTTCAGGGTGTGGGTAGCATTAGCTCAGCAAGCTGAGGCCAAGGCATTGTGGAAGGGAGTCTCACAAATGGAAGCTGGGAATACAAATTGGATCCAAATCACAGAATGCCTTGGTGCCACGCAGAGAGCTTAAGACTTTGGCTTAGAAATTGATTAATCTGATTTGTTATTTAAGAAGGTACTTGGAAATCTTTGAATGTGGGAGGCTGAGACAAAAGGATTGCATCAAGTGTGAGGTCTGAGCTTCAAAATGAGACTCTGTACCAACACTACCTCCCCCCTCCACACAAAAAAACCTGAAATGTTAATACATAGTAGCACATAACTATAATACTCGCACTTGGAAGGCAGAGGCAGGAGACTCACCATGAGTTTGGGACCAGACTGGGCAATAAGCTGAGAACCTATCTCAAATAGGAAAGGCTGCTTAGGCTCTAGAAGGGGGGACTCAGGGGCGCCCAAATGTGCTCCAGAGGTTTCCACGACTCCCTAAACCAGCTGCAAATAAACACCAGCTAGGAATGCCCGAGCACCGTCTTTTAGGCAGAGGCCTGCCTCTACCTTTCAAGCCCTGGGATTAAAGGTGTGTGCCGCCACCACCCAGTTTTATTCTTTTAAATTCTTCCCTTTTTGTGTGTATTGATATTTTACCTGTATGTATGCATGAATATATGCATGCATGTATGTATGTATGTATGTGCACCATGTATGTGGGGCTCACGGGGGCCAGGAGAGGATATTGCATCCCTTGCGACTGGGATTCTAGGCGGTTGGGAGCCCAGGGACCTCTGGCAAAGTAGCCAGTGCTCTGGTTTTAACCACTGAGCCATCTCTCCAGCCCCTTAGTCTATGCATTTTAAGCCCATTCCAAGAAGATGCCAGTTCAGGCTAGGGTCTAGCCTACTCTTAGACCTAGAAAATTGTGTTTTCCTTTTCTGAATGGTGCTAGGATAGATCCATGCTGGCAAGTGCTCTGTCGGTGAGTCACATTCCCAGCCTCTAGCTGTGCTTGACCCTGCGCTTCAGAGCTTAGCATCCCAGGGCCGGGCTGTCTGCCGGGAAGAAAGGTTTTCTGGGAAGACACCTCTAGCTCCAGCCGAAGTTGTACCCCCGCTATCAGTCCTTGCCGTTCTACCCTCCCACAGCAGATCAGGGTTCATTTCCCTTTGAGACTGGGGCTCGCTGGGGGGACTGCTGCCATTTAAACACATGGTCCTCGGGGCAGGCTCTTGTTTTCTGCCATCTGAGCGGGTTCTCAAAGGCAGGGATCTCTCTCCCAGACCAAGCTCCTGGAGGAAGATCTTCCTCTTTTATCTCAGAGAAAGCCCATGTGGTTCCATTGGTGCCATGGGGTTCCTATCCTGCTCTGATCTTTTAGGACATCGGGCTTGTTTCCTTCCTGATTGGCTAAGACGCCCACAGGCAATATCTGCCTGCTTCTCTCCCTGGACCCCCGTATTTGTCAGGTTTGGCAGGAACGCGTGCTTTCTCGGCACTAGTGATCCGGTTCGAGCGGTCAGAGATCTCCAGTGAACCTGGGCAATGCTTCCAGGCCCCTTACAAGACACACATCTCCTAAGCTACTCCTTGATGGATAGGATGCTTCAGAGGCGCTCCGAGCCCAGCGGAGCCCCAGAGAACTTGGCATCTCACCCTAAAGTTCATCTGCTTGATAAGGCCCATTCCTGACGCCTGTGTGCCTTTTGGTACAAAGGCACCAAACCCAGCTCCCACCTCTTCAGGAGGAGTTGGCACCACCCCGGGCTTGACTCTCACTGGGTGAGATTTCTTCGGGCCTCCTGCCACACCTCCCTCACCTGGTATCTGTCTGAGTGGTGCAGATCTTCGGCGGCAGAAGAGTGTGGGGAGGCCGTCGGGGAGTCTCCTTCCCTCTTGATGGAAGCGGACAACAGGAGGGACTGAAAGAAGAAAAGGACACGTGGCCCCAGGCCAAGTGAGACCCACGTTCAGTGCCCAGGAGCTCCCAGTGCTCAGGGAGTTCTAAAAGCACAACAGAGGAAGAGCACAGGGACAGAGGACTGCTCTGAAAACTGGAAGTGACGTGGTCACGCACAGAAGTCTGGTTGTGAGAGAGGATGGATGGTCTTGGGTCTACGTATAGACCCTTGCTTGTGTATTTTGTTTGAGACAATGTCTCACTCTTAGCCCAGGCTGGCTTGGAACTCCTAGTGATCCTCCTATTACAGCCTCCCAATTGCTGAGGTTACAGGTATGGACCAGAATACCTGGCGAGACCCTTGCTTCTGCTGAGCTCTACCTCGGTGGGAGGGATTGCTAACCTCCTCTCAGTAGACATGCTTTGTTCTTCCTTCAAAAGCTGATACTCTGGGACCCACATGAAGGGCTGGGGGTAAAGCCACATACCTGCCGCCTTGCCTGTCCCTAATACATGCCGATGGCAGCCCCACCGTGGAGACAGTAAATTAAATAGTATGTATGAGTTTCCAGCATGTGGCTGAGGATGTACGCTGGGTCCATTTAGTCCTGTGCTGTGGTGATGACCCTAGCAAAAAACCCCGGCAAAACCAATCCCCCTCCGTCAATCCCGGATGGCCTCTTCTACATACGCCTACAGTTTAGATTAATAAACTGTCTGCTTTAAATTGTGTGAGAGCACCGCAATTCTAAATACCACATGGCATGTTCAGCCCAAGAGCCAGCTCTTGCCAAGGCCTGTTCAGCTGCAAATGGGGACTCAGGGGCTTGAAAATAATCTATTCCCCCTCCCTTCTTCAGCTTGCACGGCTCTGAGCCGGAAGCTCACAATTCTCTAGAAGTCCTCCCCAGCCTGGAAAGCCATGCCAAATCGCCAGTGACAGCCCAAAGAAAGCAATTTGGGGAAGACAGAGCGGTCATTTATCCTTCATCTCTGACTGAACCTTAGGATGTGACCTGCATGCAGTGGCCAGGCTATACATCCTTGGGCAAGGGCCCTCGGAAGTGAGGGGGTATGGTCCCCAGCTGCCACTAAGCCAGGACACCCTGAGGCATCCACAGCTCAGGAGCTAAAGGAGGAAGGAGGCTGCAGAGGGCCTGGGATGGGGTTGCCTCCAAAAGGGACTTCTTCACTGACCTAAGCCTCATAGGAGGCCTGGTGGGTGACAGCCCCAGCCAGAAAGATGTCAGGTGATGTTCTCCGATCCCAAGGAAGGTGTTGAGAAAAGAGAACAGTGTGCCACAGTGTGTAGGGGCCCAACAGTAACAAAGCTTTTCTCTGTCTTTCTCTCTCTCTCTAGGTTAGAAGCCCTGAGAGGCCTCAGCATTACACCTGGGGCATGCAGAATAAAAAAAGGTCACTGGCGCTTTTTAAACATGGACCAAAAAGCAGTAAAATGTGTTTTGAAAAAAAAAAAATCCTGGCATTAAATCATGACTTTTTGCCTGGCTCTTCGCCTCATTAAAAGTGGCCTTTTGGAAGGTAAAATTATCATTGTAAGCGATAAGATCTTTAAGAAAATAATTCACGGCTTCTTCACCCTTTAATATGATAGCCGCCACCGGCTAATTTTTTTCTTAATGGCAACGAGGCCATCAATCTTGTCTAAGGGCCCCTCGCCCTCTCCTCCTTCTCCCTCCCTCCCTCCCTTCCTCCCTCCTTTCCTCTCAGACTCTTGCTTCAACCTTCTGCTTCCTACCTCTTTCTCACATGACCTGCTTCCCTAAAGCTGAGGTCAAGGCCAAGGGGAAGCCAAAGACTGCTCAGCTTTGGGGCATTTATCTGGAAGTAGGTGAGCAGTGATCCTTTTTTTCTGCATCTATCGAGGCATGCCAGTGTCCAAGCTTGTAGGAATGTGTCCATGCTTAAGTCTTCCTGGGTACACATTCTGACCTATGGGTCATATATGTGAGAGGTGGATATGGATGAGTGTGCTAGCAAGGGTTGGTCATTAGAACACAAGCCCTTCTGGTTTCCAGTGTCTCAGTCCTGCCACTCATACTCAGGTAGTGGCTGTGCTAGGAGCTTGTCATGACCTTCAGTTACTTCACCGTCAAATATTAAGTGTCTGGGCCAAGCAAGCCTGTATGGCTTCCTGCCTCCTCCATCTAGTCTACAGCTGCCTGATTTCCCCATCCCTTTCTCCTTCAGACCTTGGCAAGGGTGGACACAAATCCCAGGCTAGTTTGGGCTCTCTATCCCTCCTTCCGATATTAGCTGTGACTCAGTGAGTTTTGAATGAGGTGAATAGTTTACCTTCTCCCTTTTAGAAGCCCGAGGGGTAGTTGGCCAACATCATGGAGGTGACACTTGTCACTGGCTTCTTTTTCCCAAAATTACCCTCTCAGAGGTCACTGGTGACTTTGGGCCTTTCAAATATATGGACCTCTTCATGTCCCTTTCCCTACTGGACTGCTAACTGCCCAGACATTTGGAAATAGTTCTTCTTTAGGGAACTGGGAAGCATGCTCTCCTGTGACCCTTCTACTAATTTCCTCACTTTTTATTGATCAAAAGTACAGGGGTCTCTGAGGGGTTTTTTCCTTGACATCTGTTCTTATCTTCCCCATACTCCCACTCACCGAAAAATTTGTTCCCCAAGGTTTAACACTTATTTCTCACTTGACATGACACACATCAGGGGAGTAGTGTGGGGACTTCCAAGAAAGGGGACAGCCTTAGACAGAGGGGCACCTCTTCCTCTCCAGGTCTCCATTCCCTCACAATCATCACCTCTGAGGAAACAGCACCACCTGTTCCCTGTGGGAAAGTCAGGGGGCCAAGAGGGGACATTTGCTCTTCATCTTTCTCCATCTGATGCATTCAAGGTACTCTTACAGTTTCTGTTCAGAGGGGCCAACTCTCTCCTCAGACAGACCCAGCATCCTCTCTGGTTCTCTCTCACATGTGCAAGCATATGCTCACACACTCATGCAGAGAGATTGAGGTGTGTGGGGGAGGAGAGAGACACGCACACATACACACACACACACACACACACTTGGCTTCTATTTGTACTAAATTTCTATGCTTTCTTTAACTGCTTACAGCTCACCTTCCTCCCTTAAGCCTCCCAGACCTTAGTGTCTGTGTTGCCTACACCTCAGGCCACTTTTGCCTCTGACCCATCTCCTAGCTAGAAAAAGAGAAAGTCAGGAAATTGTTTTATTCAGATGGATTCTGCTCCCCCAGCCACACCCTAACACATCAACTAGCCCTAGGCATCAGGCTGATGTCCACACACTGAAGGCAGCAGAGTCCATGGAGAGTGCCTCTTTCTCAGGAGGAGCCACATCCTGGTAGGCCTTGGTTGGAATGGGCAAGAGAGAAAACATAATTGGCCACCTACCTTGGGGGTGCCTGGAGCCATGGCATCCTTCAGAAGGGAATTTTTGCTGCCAAGAAAGAACAGAACAAGGTGACCATTCTACCTGGTGCCTGGCTCGTGTGGAGGGTAGATTAGCAAGCTAAGCCCAAGAGAAGGCATTTTCAAGCATGACACAGTCCATCCAGCCCAGCCTAGCCCCACCTAGGACACTCAACCCACTGTCCTAGGACCTAACTCAGCTTCTACCAGGTGCCAAGGACCATCCTGGTCCCTGGGAGGGGACACAGACACCAGTATCAAAGAAAGGGGCTTTACCTAGAGTCAGCCCTGAAGGTTCTGTCTGTCCTGGAAGCTCCCTTCCCTACACTCCCTGTTCCTTGCCTGCTTAGTTCCTATGGGACTGGGGTGATGGGGCTGACATGACTCTTGTCAATTCTTCCTCCAACATGCTGCAAACTGTGTTAGGCTAGGAATGATCTTTCCCTGATTCAATTTGTCAGCCCCAGGCCCTCCGGCATCGGGTGGCAGGCAGGAGGGAGCTGGCCCCTGAAATATGGTGGGCAGTTCAGAGCAGGAGGGGGCTGGGGTGGGAGGTGATGGATGGGTTGTGGGGGAGGCGAGGGCTGTGTTTAATAACAAAACTGGTATGCAAGACCACATCCCACGCTAAGCATGAGTGATCCAGAGCCACAGAGTATTACAAATCCCGCTAAACAGATGCTGACAATGGGACAAGACGTATCAAATCAGATCCACTTCAGAAACATTAATATCCCTGTTCCCGCCCCTCCCTGCCTGCTGCCCCCACTCCGCTGCTGCATCTGCGCTCACTCGCTGGTGCGTGTGCATGCACAGACACATGCACCCACACAAACACATGCACAGAAGCAGACACAGACCATTTTCATGGGCTGTCCGCACCGACACACATACAAAGCACACACGTAGACTACAGCCACAGCCACACAGCCAGAAAGCATGAAAGGACACAGATACATTGAGAGCAGAATACGTGGGGCAGATATGGACTTGGTGAGTGTATGCACAAGGAACACCATACTCGGGCACCCAGTAGCCAAACAGCGAGATGCACGACGTGCAAGCAAAAGCGTGGGCAGAAATGGCTAAAGTACTGGTTGTCAGCGGAAGGAGTGTGTGCACACCCAGGGAACACTTGGCAAGGTCTGAATATACATGGATGTCTATACATAAACACGTGCATACAGGCATACACACCTAATATACATGAGGCAAATGTCCTACCGTTGAGTGACATTCTAAGCCCCTAGAGATAGTTTGATTGATTTCTGATTGTTCAAACTGGGTGTAGAAAGGGGGTTGCTACTGGCATCTAGTGGGTAGATGGTGTTTAACAACCTATACTATCCCAGACAGCCCCCTCACAGAGGATTATCAGACCCAAAAAGTCAATAGTGCTGAGGTGGAGAAGCCCTGGTCTCAAGGCACATACACAGACTATCTTCCTTACCGACAGGCACACAGATGCAGGCAGTCATACCCGGAGACGCAGACATGCATACAGATGTGCAAGGCCACGGGGTCACTCCCAGAGACATGGCCATAAAGACAAATTCACAACAGACTGGGTGAAGAGCTGCTCTCAGACACAAATCCACACAAACGCAAGCAGAGATGGAGAGGCCTATGAGCACCGACACACTCAGACACACGGATACCTACAGACGTGAACACCTGAGGGATCACATACACACACACACACACACACACACACACACACACACACACACACACACGACAGTGCAGAGACCACCAGTCTCCACAGCAGGAGAAGGCCCATGTCTGGGCTACCAATCTGTTTACACAGCAGGAACAGCACAGAAGAGAGAGGACTGCCAGTCGAGGTTCTATTCGATTACAGTTTGTTCATTAGCCGTCTATGCCTGGCCCTAACCAAGGCACTGGGCATATAGGGGGGAAGCTGAGCTGCCCTTGGAGAGAAACTGGTTTGTTCGCAGCTCCGATCACTTCTTACCCTCTTCCTTCACTCGGTGGACAAACGTGAACATCACTATTCCTATTCCGGCTACAAAGTGAGCTATCTGCTACCCACACCGTCGCCATTCTTGACCCTGGACTGGCATACGGGCTATTACCTGTTGTGGCTGCATTAGATGAGGTCAGCAACTGAAGTAATAAAGACGTTATTATGCACCTACTGTATACGACAGAGACAGGCCTTGTAAATGTAATTTTGCTCAATTTCTACCAAACTTTGCAAAGTTGACTAACAGGCTAGGTGGCACCTCTATGGTCACACAGCCCACGGAGGGCTTGGGGTTTGAGTTTTTGTTTTTGTTCTGTTTTTTAATACCGCCTCTCTAAAGTTATGTCGGACTTAGGATCTAGTGCCAAACACTGAGTTTCGTTTCTTCTCCGCTTGCTGTGCAGCTTTGGGCAAGGACTCGCTGATACTGGACTCATCTCCTTGGCTGGTACGTGGGATGGGGTCACTCGGGGTCAGGATGTCCAGCCTGTGCTCTGGCAAGCCCATCTTTCTATCCTTCTTAGCAAAGCTCTTCCCTTTGCTTACGCAGAGCCAGCTCAGCCTCAGCCTCCCGCCCTGGCTCTAAGCAATGCTTCCTCCTGCCCTTCCTTCTATCAATCCCTTTAACACCAAGTTTTCTTGGTTTCTTGGAGAGCCTGAAAGCCTGGTGAGTGGCTTGCTTTGGAGGAGAGAGGTTTAAGTCCTGAGCTGGAAGCAGCCTGGCTCCCGCCCAGCCCATCAGCTCTGCCTTCTCGTCCCCTCCCTGTTTCCACAGCCCGCCCCCAACAATTTCCTTCCTTGCTCAGTCACTCGCTGCCTAGTGATCCATGGGTTTTAAATTATAACTGGGACCCAGGAAACGCGTTCCTAAGTACAATATTCATGGGCTGGGCTGACACTTTTAATTAAGGTGATTTACACTGAATTATCCTTGGAAATAAAGAAATGGTGCGCTGCCCGGGAATAAACCATCATCACCAGCCGCCTTTGTAAGTTACACTTCGTTTTAATCTATTTGGGGAATTGTTTATCTAGTTCATTACCCAACCAAACACCGAGGCCGGCCTTAAATAAGGCTTAAGTAGGGGTGGGGGCCCTGCCATCTCTACACCCCGCCTCTCCTTCAGAGCTACCCAATTTCCCTTTAGATTTTTTTTTTTCCAGCCCTTTTAAAGCACTTCCCAGAGAAGGCTGTTTCCTAGCCCAGAGGCCGGCTTTCATAGAGGACATCTCTGAGTTCGGGTCCCACCAGCCCCACTTTCAGCTCTGTGAATGTTCCATGCCCAAGGCTGTTTCTTCCTCGTGGCTGGAAACTCCTTTTAAGGGCCACAGAAAGGTCTCAGAGCCAGCCCTTTCACCTGCCCTGCCGTCTTCAGCCCCATCTAGCCCCTAGCCCAACACCATCTCAGAGGTACCCTGGCCTCAGCTCACCCAGAACCCTACCCTGTTGCCTTCCTGCTCTCTGGACATCATCTCTACCACACTTCCAACCATCCAAGTCAGAGTGTTCTAGTAGGTACCCTAGGTAGTTGCTTGGCCTCTCTTTCCTGCATCCTCTTATTCTGCATCCTCCACTTTCAGCCACGGTCCTAGGGCAGCCTGGACCCTTGATTTGCCTCCTTGCTTCTGCTCCCAGCCCACTTCTTCATACCAGGACATAATGTCTCACTAACATGTGGGCTACCCTCTAGTGTGGGAGGCCCTTCTGACTGTGGGTTCGAGCCAGTGTTGCTTTCTTTGTTCTAGGGAGCCAAGTCCTTGGGTCTAAGGGAGCCCTTGTTAAGGTTCTAGATGGAGAAAAACACAATCCGGTGAGGTAAAACAGGGGTGTGGGTGCGACCTGGAAAAGGGTAGTGTTGAGCCAGTGAGAACTTTGTCCTTCGTGTGGGGACTTGGTTGTTCCTGGTACCTGGGAATGCTCATCCCTGGGAAGGTGGTTCTTTCAGGGTGTGTGGATGTACACAAGACCTGTGCGGGAATGGGGTGTATGTGTGCGTGCGTGCGTGCATGCGTGTCAAGCCTATGCTTGAAAACCTCTGCTTAGAAGCTGGAAGGTCCCTACTTCTTGTGTGAGGGCCCAGGTGTGTAGAAATAGCATCCATAGGACCTGCCCTAGGTTGTTGGGCACTTGGAGGCAGAAGAAACCCCCCCCCCCCCGGAAAGTTTCAGAAGCAGAACCACCTGGGAGGCTAACCTGACAGCAGCACCCATAGGCTCAGAGTGGGCTAGGTGAGGAAGGGACAGAGGGGAAAGGAGGCAAAGGCAGGGTAATAAGATGAAAGGGGATACAGGTTGAGGGAGGAGAGGAGCCAGCACAGGAAACAAAGGGAGAGGGGCAGAGAGGAAACAGGAGGAAGCCAGAGGGCTGGAGAGCTGGGGAGGAGGACTTGGCCACAGGTCATGAATGGGGGAAGCCCACAGTTGGGCTCCCGCCTCCTGTGGGACTCAGTTTCCCCATCCGTGAACCGGTCCATCTGTTCAGGATCCTGATGGTGGGCAGAAGGAAGGTGGGTGGGTGGATCTCAGGAGCTCGGGTGCTCCTGTCTTTCCCCAACTTCCTTTGCCCTTCCTTGGGCTCGCCCCACAGCCAGCACGGGGCCGGGGCAAGGGCAGCCAAGCTGGGGACCCTCCACCCGCACTGCCCATCAGCCCGGAGGGAGCTGACACGCTCCTTGGGAATTTATCACGCACCCAATTACAATGTTAATTGGCAAGTTCCTGAAATCAATTAATTCGCAAATTTTTTCCAATTAAAAATCCAGATAAATCACAAGGGCGGCGGCGGGGCTGGTCCAGCCCGCAGTCCGGCGGCCGCGAGGAGGGGGCGCGCGTGGGGAGGGGGCGGCGGGCGCGGCTGCCCTTGAACGCCTTTGCCGGCCGGTCCGACTGTCAGCGCGCCGGGCGCGGCGGGGCCGAGACAGATAAAACCATCGACCCGTCGCCGCCAGCGCTTCGGCTTTATCGATCCGACGGGAATTTCACTTGCTGTGCAGATCCTGCTGTCCGGCTGTCAGACACCCGGTGGGGAGGAGGGCGTGCCAGGGGCGCAGGGCGTGCACGTGCTGAGGGCGGCGTGGGCACTGGGGGGTTCAGGGATAGGCCCGGACGTGAGCCGCCGACGGCCGCGAGGTGTGGGTGCTCTGAGAAACCTGGATGATGAGGGATTAATGCAGGGTCACGAGCAGGGGTAGAACAAGAAAGGAATGAGAGATGCCCTGGGCAGTGCGGGCTTGGGGAGGGAGAGCGTCCTCGCCGCCGCCTCCGAGGAGGCAAAAAGGGCGGTTTTCCAGAGGGGAGGCACACTGCCCAAATGGGCTCTGCAGGTCCCCGGGTTTTCTGTTCCTGCTTGAGGACCCCTTCATTGGGAGCAAATTACCCAGAAATCCTGGGACAGCCTGCTGGGTGTTTGTTTCCCTCTCTGCCCCAGACAGGTCAATCCCAGGTCGGTGAGTGATGGGAGAGGGGAGGCCAGCGCAGGTGTCGAGACTGCTTGAGCAGAAATGCTGTCTCTACCGCTAAGCTGGCAACCTTAAGTGACTTAGGGAAGTCACTTAACATGCCTGTACCTCCGTTTTCCTCATCTGTAAAATGGGAGTTCTATCTACAGTCACACACCACAATTAGCAACAGGCCGGCTACACAGCTGAAAGTGGTCCCGTGAGGTTGCACTGCCTAGTGACAGTATAAGTCTGCACAAGTACACTCTATGGTGCTCACACGCAAAAAACAGAGTCTAAGGATGCACTTCTCAGAATGTATACCCATCATTAAGCAATGCGTCACCCACCTCAGAGCGAAGAATAAATAAAGCGCTTGTCAGATAGCGAATGTCCCAAGAGGTTCCTTATTATTACCATGGGATAGCTTCTGTGGGGCTTTTAAAGTGTGAGCACAGATTCTTTTGATGTTTTTGTCTGTAAGAATGAGAGCTTTTAGAGCATATTTCTCCTCCCTTGAGTATAGGCTGGGCCGGACTGGAGAGATGGGTCAGCCAATACAGGCTAGGCTCACAACCAAAAATAGGAGTGTGGGTTGTGCTTGGTGATTCCCTGGCTTCTTTCCTCCCCCCTTGTCCCTCTCTCCAGCCATTCCTTCCTGCCTCTTTCCTCTCTGCCTGCCTTTCTTCCTTTCTCGAGCTCTCTCTTCCTATCTAGGCCTCATTCTACAGCTCAGGCTCAACTCAAATCCCAGGTACTCTTGCCTCTGGAATTACAGGTGTGCACCGCCACACCCAGCAGTGACCTGGGGATAGAACAGTCTAGAACGGAAGTGCTAGTGTGTAGACTTTAGGGGAAGGTACTGGGGCTTCCCTTGGTCTCTTTCTTGGATCGAATGCTTGTGGGCAGTCAGCTGCCTCGTTGGAGAGATGCTGAAACTGAGGTTTCCTGCTGACAGCTCATCAAAGTGAGCCATCCTGGAAGCATCCTGCAGTCCAGTCAGACATAAAGGAATGTGACCTTAGGTGACACTTTCTAGCCTCAGGAGAGAACCAGAGCTAGTGGCTACAGCTACCCAAGATCACATAGCTAAGCTATGTTGTTCTGGAACGGGTGTCCCATAGAACAGACAAATTTTTTTCAGTGTGTGTGTGTGTGTGTGTGTGTTTGTCAGAAGGGAACTTTGTTTAAGTTGGTTATCTCCTTCCACCTTCACCTGGGTACTAGAGTGGACTTCAAGTCCTACAGCTTTTGTGGCAAAAGCCTTCACCTGATGAACCTTCTCACTGTTCCTAATAAACGTCTTATGCCATTAAGTTTTGGGGTAATTTGTAACAGCCAATAAATGACGAGTACTTCCTTCAAAATCCCTCCCTCAGGAAGCCTTCCTTGCTCTGGGTGGGGTTTTTGCCTCACACAGCTCAGGTTCCTCTCAGGCAGCAGCCTCTAGCCCTCAGGGCTCGTGTTTCCTCACCTTCCTTCAATCCTTCCTCACTCCAGTTTCCCAGGGCAGAGGACATCTTGGGACCCCTGTGCCTTGCATTGGTCAGGTCTAATGACTTGAAATGAGCCATGGGTAGGAATGGAAGGCTGTTCTCTGTAGGGTCCGTCGTGGTTTCCGAGGATGGTTTAAGCCCCGTCTCTATCCCCTGTGCACCTTTATAATACAATCTTGCCAGTCCTCCCATCAAAAGGGCTACTCGTCCTATCACCTTGAGTCTGGGGGCCTCACACCACTGTGATCAATAGAGTACTGGAAATGAGAGTGAGTGACTCCTAAGGCTCAGGACAAAAAAGTGATTCGGGCTGAGCTAGAGCTCAGTTGTAGAGAAAGGCTCCAAGTTTGATCTTTAGCTGCACCCTCTCACCTCTGTCTTCCATCTTGTTGGTTAGAACATTTTGTTTTGGAGACATAAGCTGCCATGTAAGAAGTCAAAGTATCCCAAGGCTACCGAGTGACGAGGAGGCCCAGACCATGCAGAGAAACCGCATGCAAATGCTTTAGACCCCATCGGCAGGGACAGCCAGCATCCACCACCAGACATGTGAGTGAAGAACCTCTAGATGGTCCCAGCTCCCAGCTGAGCATCCAACATCTGGAGCAGGCATGGCCAACCCTTCTGTGCCCTGCCGGAATTCCTGACCCCGAAGACTGTGCGGACAACATGCAACAGCTGCTTCATACTGCTCAGATTTGAGGTAATTAGTTACTTCTCCTCTGCCCTCTGGATGATCTGGGCTCCTCACCAAGGATCTGGAGAGGGTTCAGCTGGGTCCTCGGGTGAGGACAGAGGAGGGCTTCGGTGAGCTAGGGAGAGGACACATGAGTACCTTCCCAAGACTGCCACCTCTCAGTCCTTGAGGCTTATGGAGAAGAAGGTCCTGCTTCTCCCCCCCCCCCCCCCGAGTAACAGGGCTGGGCCAGACCTCTGATAGAGCTGCCAGGCCCTGCACCTGCTTTTTTCCCACCCCAAGGCCCTACATGATAGTTCTGGGCTTGTGGCAGTGGCCCCAGCTGGCTCCCTCTTGTCCAGCTTCCCTTATTCTGAGGCTGGAGTCTGAGGATTCACTCTCCTCCATCTCCAAAATCCCTCCAAATAAAGTGAGAAACAGCACTGAAAACAGAAAGGTACCGGGGGCTCCAGCTTCTGCCCCAGAGGCTGACCTGAGACCTATCAGGGCAGACCTAGTGGGTTCCCCCGGCAGGCAGACTTCCTAGAGGTGGCTTACCTGGCAGGCAGTTGGGCCAGCTGCTCCAGTTCCTGCTCCATATGTTCCTGCAACTCGCTGGGCCTCAACAGGACTTGGCAGATGGGGCAGATCGGGGCCTGGCTGTCAAACAACGCTACTGCTTTCTTCTTACCTGGCCAGGGAAGGAGAACAGACACTATGAGGAGAGCTAGTTCTAGAAGGAAATCCAGTGTCCCAGGCCTTCAGACCAAGCCTACTGCTGCCTTTGAGGGGTTCTGGACCTATGTTGATAGCTTGAGGGACCATGGCCATAAATGATGCGTTCTCGGCTGGCCGCCCCTCTTGGAAATCTGCTGGGACACAATCAATGCTCTGTGCAATCAAGCCTTGATCACTCCATTTAACCCGCGTGTAATCATACCATCACCCAGAATGTTGCGTGCCCCTTGTCTCTCTCCTTTTTTCCTTGCTTTCATGTTCTCCAGATTTGGAGAAGGGAGAGAGGGGAAAGGCTAGTTCACTCCTACAGTCATTCAGCGAACATTCCTTCATTTTTTCCCCCTTCTAACCCAGTACTGGCAAGGTAATGAGGGGCCCCAGCATAGAACCAGGTTCTGTCTTCAGCTCTTGCTCTCCTCATTTTTGTGGTGGATGAGCTTGTTTGTCCTATGGTTCTAACTCCCACCTCCTGTTGGCTGTAACTTGCCATCCCTCTGTGCCCCTATTATCCAATATCTAATGGACGTCAATAACTGAATGTCTCCTAAGAATTTAAATCTCAACAACTCAAATTGGAGGCCTCTACCTTATCACTCCTTACAAACCTCTTACTCCTCCGTCTTTCTGGCAGGACACCTTCATCCATCAAGTCACCCACTCTAGTCACCTTAGCCTTACTGTGTGCTCCTTCCTTGTCCTACCCCCCCCCACTCACATAGCTACCAAGTCTTGTCCATTTTGTTACTTTTATACCTGTTTTTTTTTTTTTTTTTTTTTTTTTTAAGATTTATTTATTTGTTATGGATACAATGTTGTGCCTGCATGTACACCTGCATGCCAGAAGAGGGCACCGGATCTCATTATAGATAGTTGTGAGCCACCATGTGGTTGCTGGGAATTGAACTCAGGACCTCTGGAAGAACAGGCAGTGCTCTTAACCTCTGAGTCATCTCTCCATCCCCCTATATCTGTTCTTTTTAAAAGTTATGAGCTGGGTGTGGTGTGCACACCTTTAATCCTAGCACTTGGGAGCCAAAAGGCAGGCAGATATCTGAGTTCAAGGCTAGCCTGGTCTACAAAGTGAGTCTCAGGACAGCCAGGGCCACACAGAGAAACTGTCTCAAAGTAAAATAAAATTAAAACAATAAAAAGCGTTTCTATATGCGTGCGTGTATCTATGCATGAGTGTCTTGAGTGTGGGCATGTATGTGTCAGAGTGCATATGTGGAGGCTGGGGGACAACGGAATTCCACCTGCTGAGGCAGGGTCTTTCTTCTTTTTTGAAGCTTTTAAAAGTTCTTTATTATATTTTACCAAGTTTTTTCTATGTATGCTGTTTTCACATGTATGTATGTGTGCCACATGCATGTCTAGTGCTCACAAAGGCAGGAAGAACACTGGATCCCCTGGAACTGGAGTTAGAAATAGTTTGTAGGGCTGGAGAGATGCCTCAGTGGTTAAGAGCACTGTCTGCTCTTCCAAAGGACCCAGGTTCAATTCCCAGCACCCACATGGCAGCTCACAACTGTTTGTAACACCAGTTCCAAGGGATCTGACACCTTCACCTTAATGCATATAAAATAAAAATTAAATAAAATTTAAAAATAAAAAAATAGTTTGAAAGCTGCTGTGTGGGTGCTGGGACTGGAACCTGGGTCCCTTGCAAGATCTATATGTGTTCTTAGCCTCTGGGCCATCTCTCCAGTCCCAACTATCTCTCTTCTTGTTTCTGCTGCTGTGCTGCCTAGTCCAGACTGTGTGGCTCCCAGGATTCCAGGGGATTCTCTTGTCTCTCCCTCCCATTTTGCTGTAGGAATGTTGGCATCATAGCATTTGCCTTTTTACATGTGTTCCAGGGACTGAACTTAGATGATCAGGCTTGCACAGCAAGAAGTTTTACCTGCTGAGGCATCTTCCTGGTCTTTCTTCTACACTCCTGAAATTCACATTCTCCCTATTGAGGCCTCATTACTTTAAGAAATCTTTTTTTGAGATTTTATTCTTTAAAAAAATTTTTTTTATTTGTATCAGTATTGGCCTCAGTGCATGTCGTCACTCTGTGTGTGCAGTTCCCACGGGGGCCAGAAGAGGGCATCAGATCCCCTGGAACTGGAATCACAGAGGGTTGTATGCTTCCTTGTGGGTGCTGGGGATTGAACTTTTCCTGCTGAGCTCTCCAGTCCCTCCAGTTCCCTGGGACCTCTCTATTCCCGGTAGGTCTCACTGCTTCTGCTGGGTAACCTCACAGGTCTCTTGTCAACCCGATTCTGAGTTTTCTTCTAGAATGTCCTTCAAGCTGAGTGTGATGGGTCATGCCTGGAATCCCAGTGCTAAGGAGGACAAGCCAGGAGGACTGCTGTGAGGCTAAGGCCAACCTGGGCTACAAAGTGAGTTCCAGACAGTGAAGCCCTGTCTCAAAACAAACAAACAACAATCCCCGTGCCCCCATCTCCCCCACAAAACCACCAACCAACCAACCAACCAACCAACCAACCAACCAACCAACCAACCATTTCTTCAGTACGTGTGCTTGTGGAGGGCTGGCTGGAAGCTGGGACTTCTTTCCAGTCTGTTTCTAATAGTGACCAGAACAAAGCATTCTAGGAAGAACACTCTGGTTGTCTCGCTCACTCTCCTCTCGACTCCTAGTCCCTTCTTTTCTCACATCCAGTGCTCCCCAGGCTGCTTACAGGCATGGTGTTGAGGCCATGATTGTAGGAAAACAGTGTGTGTGTGTGTGTGTGTGTGTGTGTGTGTGTGTGTGTGTGTGTGTAGTACTAGAGACAGGACCAGGGCTTTGCGTGTACTAGGCAAGTGCTCTTCCAGAAAACCACATCCCAGCAAAGACCTCCTTAGCTGGAGTCTGTATGTTCTCCCTTGCTTGTCCCTCTGGTGCCTGGAGGTGGTCATGAACAGCTTTCAGACAGATAAAGACCATGTCAGTGATGACCAAGGTAGATAGGTGAGTACGGTTGCCAGATTCGATGCAGAATGCGCAGTGAAATACACAATGAGTTCTTGAAAAATATATAATCATGTCCTGGATTGAGTCATCTGCAGGCTCTAAGGATAGAGCAATTCATTATGTGTGTTCTGGGGAGTAGGAAAAGGGAGGCCTTAACCAAAGCCATGTACTTGAAACATCTTAGCCTTCACAGAGCAGGATATCACGTGTGAGGGCTTCAAGTGTGCCACGATCGGCCAGGAGGGGCTCCAGCCTGTGTGATTAGGTCTTTAATAGGGAAATGGCCCTTCTATGTTGGTTGGTTGGTCTCACTGTCTGTCACCTGCCTTGGTAGCTGTGCCTTGGGTGTTTAGGTGACAGCTAGAAGGCAGTGCTGAGGAAAAGAAGCAGATATGGCCCTGCTCTGGGAGGGCTCTGGTCTCACTTATGCCTCTCAGGCAACCTCAGAGGTGGGTGAGGCCTTAGGATCCTCCAGCCTACTGTCTTCAACAGGTGGGGAAATGGGGACTCAGAATTGGATAGGGACTTTGAACTTGGCTTTTTGGTCTCAAGGCCTCATTTATTTATTCAACAAGCCCTTATGAAAGAGTTATTTCATTTTAGTATTATTCTAGGGAGAACTGGGGCTCAGAGATAAGTTAAAAAAAAAAAAAGTCTTGATCTCCAGGAAATCCCAAGTTAGTGGTAAAGCCAGGAGAGAAAGCCAGGTAGTGTGGGTGAGACCTAGGAGGGTGGCAGGGGCCATGAGGGGCACTATGAGAGGGCTGGACGTCCCCAGGAAAAGGGATGGGTGCCCCATGGGAAGCAGAAAGCATGAGTAAGGTAGCTAAACAGGGCACTGCCTAGGATCTGGGGAGTAAAGGATGGAGTGACGACAGGACAGGAGAGGGACCCACCGCATGCGGCCAGCAGTGTCAGGAGCTCAGCCCTTTTGTGGCTGGGTTACCAAGTTCAGTCCTGTGGGGTTTCTGGAGTCTAGACCCTGCTCTGCATCTTGGGTCAGAGGTCAGCATTCTCACACACTTGCTCTCCTTCTCCTGCCTGGCTGACATGTGCTTTTCTTCACTCAGACCTCAGTTTCTTTACCGAGGGCATTGGACCCCTTGTTTGGCTCTCAGCTTTGGGAAGAGCCCTGCAGGAATGAGCTGGGGCTCCACTTGCAACCTATGCCTTCTCTCTCACCTTTATTTCTCAGGCGTTCGAGTGGCAGGTGTCAGCGCGGTCCTGCACCCCCACCCCGCCTCCCCCGCTGTGTTCCCTATAATTTTATATTGAGACCTGTGGTCATGACGTGGATTTTACTGCACTAACGACATGGCCTGCCCAGGTTTAATGACAAAATCCATACTCTGGCCCTGGGCCTGCTCCTCGTTTGCATAATTCCCAGAATACAGCTCCCTGAAGCTTTTGACCTGGGCCATTACAGTGGCCATAAAATGAGCCATAAAACCACTGGGGATGGCCAAGAGGAGGGGTCCCATGGTCTTGCTGGGGTGGGAATGAAGCCTCTATCCCCTGACCTGTCCTAGGCTCAGGCGGAGTCAGCCCCTGGCACTTCCTTTCCATGGTTCCAAGAATCTGGGAGTCCATTTCAGGCAGGTGAGGAGTAAGGAGCCCTCGGACAGGCCTCTGAAGCTTGTTCGTCTACACAGGGCTCCCTTCTCCAACACTGTAGGCCGTATCACAGATACTGGAGTCACTAGAGGAAGCCTGTCAAAGGACACGGGCTCGGTGGGTAGCCCTCACGCCAGCCCTTAACAGAGCCTCTCAACAGCCAGGCCAGGCCTTTTGCCACAGGTGGGGTTTAGGTTTCCAGTCTTGCTTGAATCCTACCACTCCTGTAGGAGGACTAGCTTCCTGGGAGGTCAAGAGCCAGGCAGAGCACGGTGGGGAGCCTCGGTGACGACTACGAGGGGATGGGGACAAGGACTGGGCTGAGCTGTCAGTGCTAAAGATGATGAATGTGGGAGGTGAGACGGGAGGCCCAG